TAAAACCCCCCCCCCCCCCCCGCCGAAAAAAACAACAAACATTTAAGAACAATAACGTACTTCGTTAAAGTCGCACCATGAGAGTTTGTGCAACGTTTGACTTCATGAAAGCATTTGTCTTTTTCTCTTTTTGTCCTGCAGGCGCCAGTGAAGTGTATCGTCATTCTGAGCAGCAGAAGCCCCATCCCCACCACATTCAAATGGATGACAAGTCAGTGCATCCTCGCATTAAGGAGGAGGAGCGGCCAGAGCCTCACCTCATTAAAGAGGAAGCGGAGTCAGAGCTCTCCTACATTAAGGTGGAAGTGCAGGAAGCCGACATCACCCATTTGCCATTGACGGTTGTCCTTTTGAAGAGTGAAGACCATGAAGCCAAGGCTCCCAGTGAGGTGAACCAAAGGGCGGAGGCTGCGAGCTGCAGCAGCTCAAGTCAGCACAGGCCCACTGAAGGAAATGCATCCCGAGCAGCCAGCCTCCTTGCTCCACTCTCAGATAGTGACTTAACATCACACTCCTCTGACACTGATGATGATGATGAAGAAGAGTCTGAAGGCGATATGACGTGTCACCCTGACAAGAAACATGTGGAATGTTCTCAGTGTGGGAAAACCTTCGTTTCAAAATGGGGCTTGAAAGCACACATGAGAATGCACACTGGAGAGCAGCCTTTTGGCTGCTCCCTTTGTGGCAAACGTTTCTCCATAAAGAAAAGCTTAATAAGGCACACAAGAACACACACTGGGGAGAAACCTTTTGCCTGCTCAGTGTGTGGTCATCGAGTGATTCAAGAGACCCATCTGATAGCTCACATGAGGACACACACCGGAGAAAAACCATTTGCTTGTCCGGTTTGTGCAAAAAAATTCACTCAGAAAGCGCATTTAAGAACGCATGCGAGAACACACACCGGTGAGAAACCTTTTGCCTGTGCAGTCTGCAAGTTCAGTTTCAGTGATAGTTCAGCATTGGTTCGGCACACCAAAAGACACACCGGTGAGAAGCCATTCACTTGCAATGTGTGCGAAAAGCAATTCTCCCGCAGGTATCTGGTTCACAGGCACAAGTGTTCTGTTGAGAAGAGCAGCGAAAAATGAAGCGTCAAATAAATTTCTGGAGAGAAACTCTCACTCTGTGCTGAGCTGTTCGAGTGTGGATGTAAGGATGGCAGGAGCCTCTCTTTGGTTTAGCCGTTTGAAGTTCAGTTTGGTTATTTTAAAGTGCATGCATGTAGTTCTTTGACTCAAAATTTGGGATCCCAAGTGCAAGAGTTTGATGTGGCACTTTAAAAGACAGATGGGGGCCCCTCACACAGTTCATCTGGAAGCTTCAATTTTAGGACTTGTCATGTAACTCTTCAGACTCAGCTCGACGGAAGACTTGAATTGACTGGATGCAGTTAAAATTCTGCATTTTCCATAAAGTTTGCCTTTTCTTTTTGCGCACGGAAACCTGGCAGGCAACCCCCTCAAGTATGCTACGGATTGTCTCGATTTTCTCACGGAAATCACTGAACGCAATGCGCTCACATTGATTGCTGAGGATGTTTGTGGAAAACAATCATGGCTCAAATTGCTCAAACAGTTTGAAAATAAGCAAAAATACTTGGTGGATGAATAGATATACAGTGTCATAACAAATATTTGCCCTCCGCCCCAAAAAATCTGCAGTTTGCCCACTTTAAGATCGTCAAATATAAATGCAATAACATAAGATATTGTGTACATATTCATACAATAATTCTGTGATTATATTCATATTTATTTGATGATATAAAATGTATTTTTAAATGACTGTTTTTCTTTTTTTTAAATGAGAATACAAACCAGATCCATCCAATCCGATCTGCTTTATCCTCACGAGGGAGCCTGGCGTGCAGGAGCTTCTCAGAGCTGACTTCGGAGGAAGCCGTAGGGCCAGAAGAAAACCCACGGGGAGAATATGCAAACTTCACACAGGAAGGCCGGAGCCATAATCGAACCCTGCAACCGGATTATGTATATCTTCACAAGGGGCAGGTTCTCAAAAAACAGAAACGTGGAGACCCGACTAGAAAAAACAACCACACTCTCTAGTGGCCGAAAGTAAAAGGTGCAAAAATCTGACAGCCATCCCCAGGTGGTCTCCCATCCAAATAGAGGCCCTGCAGTTTATTTGTTTGTGGCGCTGAATAGGAGAAGGACGACATTTAGGGCACTATAATACACACTGAATACTAGCAGAGTCTGAAGACTTATTTATTGAGGAGCACATATTGTACACTTTACAGCTAAACACAGGAAAGTCACTTGACAATTCATCATTCCCTGCTTGTTTCTCAAAAACTAATCTGAATGTCGTCCCTACCCTTTGCAACGGAATGCTTTCTCAACCAGTGTGAATTCTTTTGTGCTTTCTGAGATGCCCCTTCTGGGTGAATCTTTTACCACACAGTATGCAGGCAAAAGGTTTCTCGCCGGTGTGCGTTTTCGTGTGTTCTATTAAATGTCTCTTGACAGAGAATCTTTTACCGCAAACTGTGCAGGCAAAAGGTTTCTCCCCAGTGTGTGTACTGGCGTGTGCTATCAAGTACCGCTTTACGGAGAATGTTTTACCACAAAGTGAGCAGACAAATGGTTTCTCTTCAGTGTGCGTTCTCAGGTGATTGGTTAAGCTACTCTTTTGCGTTAATCGAAGGCCACAAACTGTGCAGCAAAAGGGTTTTTCCCCAGTGTGTGTTCTGATGTGAGTGTTCAAATGTCCCTGACGAGTGAATCTCTTCCCACAATCGGAGCAACTGAAAGCTTTCGTTCTCGTGTGGCTAACCATGTGCTTTTTCAAGAGAGACTCAAAGCTAAAAGTTTTGTCGCACTGAGAACAATTCCAGCGTTTGGTGACCATTCGACTTGCCGTGTCACTTTTAGCGTGTTCGTCGGCATCAGGAAAGTGTGAGGTTATGTGGGATCCTCCACAGCGCTCGCTTTCTTCGACATCATCTTCGCTCTTGACAATGACAGTCAGAGGAAAGTTGGTAATATCACTGTCGTCTTCTTCCTCTTTGATGTAGTGGGGGTCTGGCTCCTCTTCCTCATTCACGAGAGTGGGCTCGGGCTGCTCAGGATGACGACATTCTTCACTGACGTCTGTTGGACCCAAGAAAACAAACTTGGGTTGGTGAAGTTAGGTTTTGCTCAGTCAGGTGTCATGACTTTGATCACGTGTATTAATGTAATCCTCACTTTTTACACCACAAATAGCAAAAAAAAAAAAACCCAAAAAACAAAAAAAGCCCCACCCAAAGCACTTCTCATCTCAAGTCTCTTAATTGCAACGCTCCTTCGTCCTCGTTCCTCAAAACATTGAACGCAACTCGGAAGTTGGCGTCTTAATTATCTTCAACTCGCATTGAGGAGTTTCCACCAGTTAGCTTTAAAAAATCGGGGGATGTCTGATGCATCCTTTGTCGAAGTCTGTTAGCTCCTCACTGGTAACATTAAAACCGTCGTGTATCAGCTACACTGTCAACGATGCATGGCTTCAAATTAAATACGTAGTAGTTGCAATCCATATTTGTGTAATTTCTTCAGCATTGTAGTTTGAATATACATACTTTACTATGATTCTGTTCTATTTGAGGCAACTTACCCATGCCGCTGGCACTAACAGAGCCCCACAGCATCAAAGATGCTGGCTTTGGATTCAGATCAGTCCAGATGGCTCCTTTCCTCTTTGGCATGGAGGATACGACATCCACGATTTCCCAAAACAATTTGAAAGGTGGACCCGTCAGACCACAGAACGCTTCCACTTTTCCTCAGCCCATTTTAGATGAGCTCGGGCTCAGAGAAAACGGCGGCGTTTCTTGGTGTACAACAAACCTCACCCTGTTTTTGCTTGTGAATGACTGAGCAATTCAGGGCAATTCAGGGTACCTCCTTTTACACCCAATTACGGCCCCATACCTGTTCACTTGTGTGATGTTCCAAACAGGTGTTTGATGAGCACTCCTCCACTTTGTCAGTCTTTTTTGCCACCTGCCACAGCTTTTTTTGGAACATATCGTGTTGCAGCCATGAAATATTCAAGTTAATGATTATTTGCCAGTGTTTTAACATTAAATATCTTGTGTCGGCAGCGCATTCAAGTAAGAATGGACTGAACATGATTTTCAAATCATTGTATTCATGTTTAACACAACGTTGGGACTGGGTTTGCACATTCAAACGGCACTAGTGGCATCAACCAGGAGGCCAAACGTCACAAATGATTTTGAGAAATAAACACGGGAACATCCTTTCCCAAAGAAAGCAGATAAGTGAGAAGAAAATATTAAGTAACCTGCTCCGTGAGACACATCTTGAAGCTTTTGGAAAACAGCGTCCTGAAGTTGCCCTTGCCGCTCGTTCTCTTCTTTCGTTCCAGAAAGTCCCTCCTCGTAGTCTCTTTTTCCACTCTTTGCACACATTTCACATTATAACCACAAGGCTTAATGCATTCTTTCTGCTTAGTGATGTCTTCATAACAAACGCGTCTCTTTGTTAGCAGCAAGCAAAGAAACGTCAAATTCAGGCCAACTCGGCAAAGCTAAATAAGACGGGTCGCGAAATTTCAACGTGCATCAGAATAGCGCAACAACTGCATCTATGACGTTTCCTCCATCGAGATATTACTGGGACGTACGGTGGGAAACCTTAAATACTTTCAGTACAGATTCAGGAGCAATTGTAATTTAGTGAAAGCGCCTGTGATTATGCCCCACGTATGCGGAAGTTGTACGGCAACTCTACTTGGACAAATTCTGTTCCATGCGCAGCACCGCGGGAAAACATTTGCATAGAGTACTGTGGAACAAGTCCAATGAGATTTATAGGTAAAAAAAAAAAATCAACCATGTATCAAAGCATTACTAGACAGATGGGCGGACGGGCGGACGGACGGACAGACAGACAGAAGTATTTAGGAGTTTATTGTTGTTTTTCGGGAAAATCTTAAATATTTATGAATAAAGAGAACCATCATCTCGTTACCAAGGCAATGTTGCGAAATCTGAGGAGGGCAGTATTTCGCCTTGTCGCGATTACACTGCCGCTCCTCGAAAAGACGAAGAAGAAACAACCGAGCTTCTTTTCATCTTCATTTCTGAACAAGAACCGAACGCACCGAAGCAACAATACTATCCTTCTCATCATTTCTATACTGGAGTAAAACGCCATGAGTTAAATCTTGGTGTCCGGATGAACTCGTCTCGGTGCTCGTTGACGTTTTTCGACCTTGCTTAGCTTAGTTTAGCTAGCTTGGTTTAGCTTGCTAGCCGCTTCACAAAGAGTCGCGTTTGTTGACATATCGCGAAGCAGAGAGCAAGAGTGAGTGTAAAGGCTTGTGATTACCGCGTGAAAATGTGCGCCAATCGTGTGAAAGAAGAAGAGTGCGAGGAGGCACTTTCTGCAACAAAAGTACACGAGCGACAACGTCAACTACTGGACGCTGTTACCAAGAGGCCTCCAAATTTGTTACACGAAACAGGTTTGGTCTTCTCTTTTATCTTTTTTTTTCTCCAGTACATTATATTGAAGAGCATTCTCCTGTTTATTTTTAACGGAATCCTCGTTTTTGAAGTAGAACATCAGGCACTTTGAGGTGACATTGACTCTAACCAAGGCGGCATGGTGAACGTCTGGTTAGCACGTCCGGCTCACAGTGCAAAAGTGCAGGGTTCGATTCGGGCTTCCTGTGTAGCGTTTGAATGTTCTCCCCGTGCCTGCGTGGGTTTTCTCCGGGTACTGCGGTTTCCTCCCACATTCAAAAAACATGCGGGTAGGTTAATTAGACACTCTCAAATTGTCCCAGAGGTGTGATTGTGAGCGCGAATGGTTGTTCGTCGATGCGTGCCCTGCAATTGGCTGGCAACCAGTTTAGGGTGTATCTCACCCACTTCCAGAAGACAGCTAGATAGGCTTCAGCACACCCGCGACCCATGTGAGGGGAAGCGGATTAGAAGATGGATGAACACACTGATATCTACATTAAAAACCAAGGGTGTCCTCCCTTGATGCTGATGTGGAACCAAGAAGAAGGGGACAAGTTGTTCAAGCAGTAAACCAACAGATTAGGCACAAATGAGCATTCAATTGCTCCTCTTTCATTGTGTCAACAATCAACCCATGTCCAACCTGAGATCGTTATTATAGAAGTCTGTGTTCCTAAATAAGAGGTCAATGTCGAAAATGGTGAAATGTGCTGTCTATACAGTCTGTAACATGCATTTTCTAAGGTTACCGAGTGTTCAAGCTTACCTTCAACAAAGCGTTCAGAACAAACATAGATGTAGAGACGGGGTCTCTGGCCACAGTGAGCCAGCTGTGTTGAGCAGCGAAAGCCACAGTCTCCGTTTGTCCCTTGTCAAATCCGCAGTCTGCTATGCCTAATTCAAGATTGCCGCCGATACACAGAGAAAGAGACAAGTTGGACACACCATTTTAATGATTGCAACCCAAATCTGCACAGCATATTTAACATTGGTTCTCAATGCCATTTCCCTGTTAACAGAAGGACCAGGAAAAAGGATCTGTTCAAAGTCAAAAAGTCATATTCATTTGAGCATTGATGAGTACAGACAAGTAATCTTTGTGCTTTTAGCAAAACAAGACATTCACGTCAACACCGCCCGACCCCCTATTTTTATGACATCTGGAATGAAACACAAAGACTGCCAGGTCCTAATTTCAAATTTGAAAATCGATTGAGGCTGACCAAAACCTTGAATCACAAATCTGATCATCATGAGAAAAGGATGACTAATTCAACTATTTAAACAATTTAAAAAGAAAAAACAAGTGGCTGCATTCAGCTGAAAGTGTTTTAATATGGCACGTTGGATAAGCGAGGTCTTTTTAAATGAATACGTTGTTTTTCAAAGGCTCAGTCATTTACAAATCCATCTTAGAACATGCCAGCTAAGTCCACACAGGAAGGCCAGTGCCCGGATTGGAACCCACGACCTAACAACTGCGAGGCAGACGTGTTCACCAGTCAGGCCAGACCAGACGTCTCCTCACTCCAAGTTATCCCCTTTGCAAACATCATCAAAAACAAATCAAACCAGACAGACTTTGTGGGCTCGCTGCTTGTCTGAAAATTTGATCAGCTCTGCCATGACCAGCGTAAAACGTCTCTCGGACTGTTGTTGTTGTGTGCGCGCGCGCACACCTACTCTTCTTAGTGTGTTAAAGCACAGTGTTTTATGACTTGTTGATACCTGACCATGTGTTTGTCACATGTCCTACAGATGGCGCTGAAAAATATCTTCGTCCTGAGCATCAAAAGCCAGAGAACGCTTACGCTCAAGAGGAAGAGGAGTGTGCGCACCTCCGCATTAAAGAGGAAGAGCAGGAGGCTGATATCGGGCATCTACCATTGGCCTCTGTCTCTTTCAAGAGTGAAGATGACGAAGACGAAGGTCAGCATGAGAAGAACAGAGGGGTGCAGTCTCCAAGCAGCAGCTCGAGTCCACACGTGACAGCCAAAGGGGATGGAGAGCACTGCGGAGGAGCCCAAGCAGACAGACTGTTAGCACCGCTATCAGATAGTGACGACATAACTTCGCACTCCTCTGACACCGATGATGAACACGCTCAAGGTGAAAGAACATATCGTGATAAGAAGAAACACTGGAAATGTTGTCACTGTGACAAAAGGTTTGTTTTCAAGTCCGTTTTAAAGATTCACATGATGAGCCACACTGGAGAGAAACCGTTTGTCTGCTCAATTTGCGGCAAAAGATTCTCTCGTAGACAAAATATGACAACGCACACACGAATCCATACCGGAGAGAAACCTTTTGTCTGCTCAGTTTGTGGTAAAGGGTTCTCTCGTAGACAGTCTATGACAACGCACACAAGAATACATACCGGGGAGAAACCTTTTTCCTGCTCCATGTGTGGTAAAGGATTCACTGAACAGAGACATTTGAAAACACACACAAGAACACACACTGGAGAGAAACCATTTGAATGCACGGTTTGTGGTAAAAGGTACTTTGTCAAGAAAAGTCTCATGAACCACAAAATATCACACACTGGAGAGAAACCATTTCAATGTCCAGTATGCAGTAAAAGATTCACCCAGAAGGGATATTTAATGTTACACATAAGAGCGCACAGTGGAGAAAAACCCTTTGCCTGCTCTGATTGTGGCAAAAGATTCTATCTCGGGAGAGATTTAAGAAAGCACATGAGAACCCACACTGGAGAAAAACCTTTTGGCTGCTCTTTTTGTGGAAAAAGATTCACCGAAAAGGGAAATTTGGTGCTACACACGAGAACGCACACCGGAGAGAAACCTTTTGACTGTTCTGTTTGCGGTAAAAGATTCTCTGAAAGGGGAAATTTAATATTACACATAAGAACTCACACTGGAGAGAAGCCTATCGCCTGCTTAGTTTGTGGTAAAAGATTCTCTCACAAGGGACATTTAAGAAGACACACAAGGACCCACACTGGAGATAAACCATTTGACTGCTCAGTTTGCGGGAAGAGATTTTCCGATAAGGGAAATTTAAGAAGGCACACAAGAACCCATACTGGAGACAAATCTTTTGCCTGATCATTTAGCTGTAAAAGATTCACCGACTGAGGACAATTTGGAACACACACAGAAAAGATTTTCAAGATCACCCACTTGCGAGAGCCCATTCGTTTTCAGCGCGTGCGATAAAATATTCTCTGCAAATGATCACGTTAAGGGGCACAAATGCCTACAATGAAGCTCTAATTACATTTGAAAGAAACAGACTTTTTGTGGTAACACATAAAAGTCTGCTTGTGACCCTGAATAAAGTACAAGGTGTCAAGGAATGATCGTGTTCAGTATCTTTCTGTTTTCCTATTGCACGTTTGTTACAGCAAAACTTGATACTTGATGCATGACATCGACTCAGTGTGGGCATGGAGGGGATTTTAAACCAGGTCTCCACAACAGGGACTGTCCTGATGCACAGGTCTGGTGAAAGGCACAGAAAAAAAATCAGCGATTTTGAAAGCAACAGTTAACACTGCACCCTGCGTCATCTGAAAGTAGATTTAGATGGCAGCTCTGAGGATTCATCTACAGCTGGCTGCACACCGCAATGAGTGATTGGGAGAGAAGGGCTGTAGTCCCAATGGTCACTCTGTCACAATTCCTGTATGCCCCTTTCGGAAAGAGGAGAAATGGTCAGAACAACTGTTTTCTCTCTGCGATCCTCCAAGAGAGAGAAGATTCTGTGGCCTGACGAGACCAAAATGAAACTCTTTGGTGTGAATACCAGATGCCATGTTTGTCGTTAACCAGGCCCCACTTATTACCAGGTCAAAAGCATCTCTACGGTGAAGTATTGTGGTGGCGGCATCATGCGAGTGAGAGGTTTTTCAAGGGTCAAGAACTAGGAGTGCTTATGTACAGGGTGATTTAAACAATTTCCAAAAAAAAAAAAAAAACAGGTTATTTTCTTGACGCTGTTGTGTGTAGGACTTTTCTACAGTGTCAACGTAATTGACGTTGTTTTGCCCTTAATTAGCAATTGAACATTATTTCAGGACAATGTTGGATTGGTTTCATCAGAAGCAACAGTTTGTGACGGCAAATCGTCAATAAGTGACCACCCCCACCCTTCCCCAAACAGTCTGCAAAACTAGGATTAGGGTTTCAAAATAGGCTTTCAAAGTAGGGTTAGGTCTTCAAAGTAGTAATTCCAAACTACGGTGAGGGTTTCAAACCGAGAATCGGATTTCTAACTAGGGTTAGGGTTCCTCATCATGGTTTCAAACTAGGTTTTGGCTTTCAAAGTACAGATTCAAAGTCGGGTCAGGGTGTCGAAAGTGCAGTCTCAAAGTACCGTTAGAGTTTCCAGTTAGGGTTTCAAACTCTGGTTTGGGTTTCAAACTAGGGTTGTTCTCAAAGTGAGGTTTCAAACTAGGGTTACAGTTTCAAAGCAGGGTGAAGATGTAAAAGAAGAGTTAGGGTTTAAAAGTAGGGGTTCGAATTAGGGATCGGGTTTCCAATCAGGGTTTTAAACGAGGGTTAGAGTTTAAAAATAGGGTTTCAAAAATAGGTTGAGGGTTCCAGTTGGACTGCAGTGATCAAATGTTTTAGTATTTAGATCTCCTACTGAAATTAAGAATAGTCAGCTATTTGTATGAAAACTAGCTAACGCTCTGTCAGAGTTTTCTCGGACAAAGTTAAAGAAATGACTCGACACACAGGGAAAATTGTCTTCAATATCGACGGGAGCAGATCTCTGAGAGCGAACGATGGTTTAGTTGCTCCGTGATCACACTCAGAGCCCCCCCCCCCCTCCGTGAGTTAGAAATTTTGCAAAATACAAGAAAAACACTGCCCCCGATATTTGCATACCGCACCCCTGGTCCGGCCCCTCGGTAGTGATTGGTTATCTTGGTTTAAGCTTTGAACCACCGGTACGTTGGCGCCTTTCTGCCTGGTCTACACTGAATCATGTTGCAGATTTTGTGGGCGACAAATGTCGCCTGGGCGCGACGGGTGTTCTCAAATCGTCTTTTGTTGTTCAACCGCTGTTCCCGAATTATTCATTCCTTTGTGACCGAGTCTAGTCCTCTCTCTTCTGATCACCCACCCTCATTGACGTGCTAATTGTGGACTTCAACAGCCCTCCGCCCAGGTGGCCGGTGCCTTTGTGCACAGGCATTTGGGGGTGCTGGATACGCACCCAAATTTAATGAAACTTTAAACATGATACAATTTTGCTCATAGATTCCTCTAACACGCTCTCTCTCGCTAATTATATGTAAAAAAAATTAAAAAACAATCCTCATCTCACCCCTCAGGTCCATCCCCCATTCAGCTCGGGTCCTCTACCAGAGGCCAGGAAGCTTGAGGGTTCTGCGCAGTATCAGACTGAGATGTCCGATGTTGTTTCCGGGATCTGCTGCAACCACTCATCTAGTTTGGGGGCCACTCGCGGGCCGTGCATTCAACCTTAGGCCTTCAGTGGCGTCACATACATACACAATACAGGCTGGTCAAGCAGCATTTAATTTCAGGAGCATTTAAAACCGTCAGGTATGTATTCCAAATTAAGAGCAGGAAACTAAATTTACAGATATTGTCAAAAATAAAAGGATGATTTGAAAATACGAAATAAAATGCCACCCAAATTACGCTGTGTGATCTTAAACAAGTCTTTCCAATAAATTGCGCAAAGTCGCAGTTTCATATAAGACACCAACCAAACAATAACAAAACAAACTATTCTTTGAAAAGAAAGTTAACAGATCATTTGCATTTTGAGAATAGGCTATACAACAGCAAATAACTGAAAATGTTGAGCAGCTGAGATTGAACAAACTTTAGTGCACGAAGGTGACCACAATGCGCCATTATAAATTGCAGGTGAGCAGATTTATTTGATACATTTTTGTATCGTTGTCATTTTATTTCGTTACCATTAATTTAATACTAACGAAATAAAATGACAAGAAGAAATGTAAAATAAAATCCATTTACTCACCAATGTAGTTCTCCACAGCGTCTGCTTATTTGAAAATAAAGTCGATCCTCCTTTCTTTTCTCAGGAACACTTCAGTGGCTCTGTTGTACAGTTTTCCTGTTCGTTTCAGGTCCATCAGCAAGTCCTTTTCAATCGACATGGAAGCCAATGCTGAAAGCCGTTTTTGTCCGGTTGTGTTTCTGGCATAAGTTTGAATGCGTTTTAACGCTGAAAATGACCGCTCAACAGATGCTGTGGACACGGGGATCGTAACAGCCAAACAGGCCAGTGTGTAAAGTTGTCCCATACTCCCACTCAGATTTTTGCTCCGAAGAAAATCATGAAGATCAGCTGGACTTCTCCCTTCAAAATCAACCATGCCATACATTACAGTCAGTTCTGTTTTAAGACGGGGAAGATCAAATAATGCTCCGTGGCTCCGTGTTAAGCTGGAGAAGGCTGTTTGTGGAAATTTTTTCCTGTATGTCTGAAAGTGCTGAGGGTCGAAGGGAGAGAAACATCAGTCTTTCGTGGTCCTGAAATCGAGTCCGTATCTGGGAAAGAATGTTGTCCAGAATGCTGGTATGGAGACGTTGGTAGTGTGCGCGCGGGTCGTCTTGTGCCGCGCCCTGGCCTCTGCGCACGCTTGGAGCACCTGAGATGCGCACTGTTTCTTCGTATATTTCACTGAATTTGTCCCTTGCTCGCTCAACTGTGTCACAAAATTCCTTTACCCTTGCCATGCAAAATTGCACATCCAATGATTTTGTCTGAAGTATTCCAAAAAGCACATCAGCATACTCAAAAATCCCATTGAATATGTTGAGCAAAAAACAAAATTCAAAATCACCCAGACGTGCAGTAAATCCATCGGCAGAAAGCACAGTGTCCTGATCATACTCATCGTGGTGCTCCAATATGTGATCAAACAGCTCCTTCAACGAAAGTCTCTTCTCATAAACTGCATTCACCAATCTTGATGTACAGTGCCACTGTGTTGGTGCAATCTGAGGAAAACGCCGCTTGCATATGTCGCCTAGTAGTTTAGTGCGCTTCGGAGATCTGGAGAAGAATGCAGCGAGGCCATTCAAATTGGCTAAAAAGACCTTACACTCTTTAAGCTTTGAGGCCCCTTGCATCAGTACTAAATTCAGACAATGTGCATAACAGTGAATGAATAAGGCCATAGGTGCCTTTTCTTTCACTTTAGCCTGCACGCCATTCAACCCGGATGCCATTACCACTGCGCCGTCATAACACTGTGCCACAATTTTGTCCAGAGAACATTCATATTCCTCAAATAAATTGAAAATAAGAGCGGCAATGTCATCAGCTCGTTTGCCACTGGTTACATCCTCAAATTTTATGAAACGCTCCTTGACACCTGTGTCCGTCAGATAGCGCAGGACGAGTGAAAGCTGTTCCGTGTTACCCACGTCCGTGGTTTCATCAACCATCACTGCGACAAAAGGGGCTTTTTTGATCACCAGTTTGATCTTGTCTGCCATCACTTCAGCAATAGCATAAATTAGGTCGTTTTGTATTTTTCCGGATGTCCCAGTAAAGACCCTGTTAGTTGTCAGGTGGTAATGCATTTCTGCGTCATGTTCTGCAAGAAAAGAAATAAGTTCCACGTAGTTACCTCTATTTAAGGGCTCGGCCCCTTCATCGTGCCCCCTGAATGAAAGTTCCTGTTGACCCAAAAACATAACACAATCCATCAGTCTTTTCAACACGTCCCTATTTTTTTTTACTTTTTCATTGTGGAGCTCCGTCTCCCGGCGTGCCTGTTCACTGAGCGGCAGATGTACGCGAGTGTCCCCAAACGTTTTTAAACGCACCGTAGCTTGTAAGTGCCCAGCCGTGCTCTGATGTTTCCTTGCTGCCTTGGTAAAACAACTTAAATTGGCAAATCCAGTGTGGCTCCAAACACCACGTCGGTCAGTTGCAAGCAATAGGCATTCCCAGCAGTACAATTTGCAGCGTTTCTCAGAGGCTGTGAGCCACGGGTACCGTTCATAATTGCTCGTCTGAAAATGACGGACAAACCCTTTTCCTCGCTGGGACAGACTAGCTAGCGTAGGAGTTGGGCGACCTCTTCGCACAATATCCAGCTTTTCGTGGAAGGCCCGTCTTGAAAATTGTGTGGAAAGTAGTTCTGCTACCAGATCAACGTCAGTGTGACATTTCATATCACCTTCAGCGTGTTCATCCTCATCCGTGTCAGAGGAGCGTGACGTGATGTCATCACTATCTGATCGTGGAGCTAACAGGCGGTCTGAATTGGATGCTTCAGAGTGGTCTCTGTCAACCTCTGTAGGGTGATGACTGAAGCTGTTGTCTGGAGAATCCGCCCAGCTTTCCTCCTTGCTTTGACTTGGGTGAAGCGATGACCTCTCACCTTGGTCTTCACCAGCTTCACTCTTCACAACACCAATCAATGGAAATTTGATGATTTCAGCCTGCTGCTCTTCCTCTTTAATGAGATGTATCCCTGGCTCCTGCTGCTTTGAATGATGATATTCTGTTTTGACATCTCCAGGAGACAAGAAGAGAAACATACACAGTTTGGTAAAGTTGACTTATTTGTTGCAGATTATTGTTTCTGGTTATGTTTTTGGCAATGTTAATCAGGAAATTTTGTAATTATGAGATTGAAGAATTGGGTTGCACAGTACATCGGTACTAAAAAACAAAATGACTGATTTCCGGTGCTTTCAACACGATATAAACAAATCAGCTGAGAAACAAAGTGGGCTGTGCAGAGGTTGCAAATCACCAAACAGATTTGGCTCCTGGCTACATATGGAGACTAAAATATCTCAAGAAAGGAACAATTACTTGGAGTAATAATGCAAGGTCAAGTCAATTAAGAACAGACCTTTGGCTGATTTGAACAATAAGCAACAATTAACTTAACATACACTACAGATTTCTGACTGGGAATTTTGAGAAACGTGGTTGTGATTTAGCTAACTCCAGAACTAAATGTGGGTGTGAGCAATAACAACAAAGATGAATTTGATATTTTCAAGGCACGGTCCAAGAAGCGCCTGTTTGTTTGCGTCATGGTGGAGGGGTAAAAGAAGCACACAAACCTGTGGGAAACGCATCCTGAGGCTGCTTGAAAACAACGTCGAGTTCTTGACGTTGTCGCTCGTTCTCTTCTTTTACACAAAGTTCCTCCTCGTACTCTTCTTTGACACTCTTTGCACACATTTTCACAAGATAATCACAACACGTTTAGCGGCGTGCTGTTAACAAAGACGTGCCTTCGCTAGCAGCTAGCAAGCTAAGCTAGCCCGAGAAGCTTCAACGTGCGCCGACAAGAGTAAATCAAACCACCAAGATTTAGTTAATGGGGTTTTGCTCCAATAAAGTACCAATCAACGTACTGTGCGCAGGCTTTCGTATGTTCGGGTGGAATTCCTTGGTGAAGCGTGTGGTAATGCAAACTAACATGAAAGTCAAGTTTGCAAGAGAAGTCGTAGTTAGCCACGGGTCGAATCCCTGAAGCGTGTGCCGAGTTATCTCGATGAGTGGTATATGAATGGGGAGTCGAACCGCGTGTTGATGACGTCAGTGATGACGTTTGCCCCGCGAAGGGGGTGCACCACGTGACTGATTCAGAAATTGATACGTTAGGTTCGAGTGTTGTTCGAAATAAAAACGACAAAGAAAAGCTATGGATTCCCCTTCACATTTTGTGGTTTCGGGTTCCTTATTGTTCTACTTTTTGGCATTTGATTCAACGAGCTTCTTTTTTGCGATGGAACCAGCAAGAAAGAGGAGATATTCCCCTGTTTGGGAGCACTTTGAGGCTCAAAGTAAAAACTCTGCAAAAAAAAGAAACCGTCTGAGTCCAAAAACTTTGGATAAAATATTGTTTTTAAATAAAAACGAATAAGCACTTTATTTTACGTAATATTTCACATTTTCACTTGTTACATAAGCACAAACAAACAAACAAACAAACAAACATGTAAAAACACTCCTCAAATACATATTATTATGTGTTCAGAGCATGATTTACACCCCACCATTTTATTGCATGCACCAAGCATGTTATATATACATTTTCCTGTCCACATGATGGCGTAGTCGAGGAAATGATTCATCTTGAAGCCCCGAAGCGTGTGTGAAGTATTTCTCTGCATGGCTTCAGTGCAAAACGGGGCTTCATTTTGCCGTCACTCGTCGTAGTACGGCAAATCCACTTGGACAAACTAAATGTACGGCAGCAGAAAAGCAGCAAATGATTTTCCATGTGACTGTCCTTAATTTGAAAAGTTTTTCTACAATAACAGTGTGTCTTTAAAGGCAGCATGGGTTCACCTCCCACTCAGGGATGGCGAAAATGCAAGTCTGATGGGCCATTTCTCTGTATGTGCAAAGCACATACTTTAAGTCAGGGTTTCTCAAGTAGTGGGGCGCGTCCCCCTGGGGGGGCGCGAGGCTCTGTCAAGGGGGGCGCGTTTGACCTCGGGGAACATGCTTTTTTTTATTTTTTTACTGTCCTTGAATAAAGTGCAGTTGCACCTCCACTACGTTAGGGAGCAGTGGCGCTCTCATTGGCAGAGTTTTCGCAGGGAGCATTCTCAGGGAGGAAATATGACGAGGCGTATGGAGCGCTTGGCTTCACTGTGACAACAGTGGCAGAAGAAGGAAGATCGATGTGCTTACTGTGTCTAACAATGTTGGTAGCGGACAGCATGAAGCCAAATAAATTAAGGCGTCACTTAAAGACATGACACCCCAATCATGCTGATAAGAATGTCAAGATTTTGTGGTGTGAGTTGGCTATAACAAATATTTGGTAGGATTTGTTTGGCCTGCGGAACAATGTTCACCCCTTCTTCAATGTTGTGAGTGCAAATGTTGCTGTTCTCATCACCATCGAATTAAGCGCTCGTCTCCGAGCCTTAGACGCAAAGCTCAGACTTGACATTTCCTGAAATGCATGATTTAAATCATCTTTGATTATTAAAAAAAAAAAAAAAAAAACACACAAATTATTTTATATATTTTTGTTGTGCTGGTTAATGTTTTTTTTAATATTGTGCTCCTGAGATAATGTTGGTGATTAGTTTGAATGTACTATTAGTTATTGATTTTATGTAATTTTATTTTTCAGTATTGTATGGTTTGACATGGTCAGTCAAAAGTATTTATCGTTAAATTAAGGATCTAATGTTATTTTTCTTCTTTCTTTTTTATTCTCTTATACGTTAATAAGGATACAGTGTTATGCAAAGGTGTACTTTTACAATTTTATAGACAAATGATACTATTGTGCGGGGGAAGGGGGGGCACAAGATGTTTTCCTCTGGGGGGGGGGATGACAGAAAATAATTGAGAACCACTGCTTAAAGTGGACCTCGGCCTCACAGTGCATAGGTGCAGGGTTCGATTGCGACACCGGGCTTCCGGTGTGGAGTTTGCATGTTCTCCCGTGCCTGGGAGGGTTTTCTCCGGGTACTCAGGTTTTCTCCCATATTACACCAGTTCAGGGTGTGCCCCGCCTACTGCCCGAAGAAGGCTGGGATGGGCTCCGGCATGCCCCGCGATCCTTGTGAGGATTAGCACATCAGAAAATTAATGGATGAATGAATAGACTCAAAAGATTGAATTGGCAGATTAAAAAGGGTGATCATAAGTATTGTGGAGTACAAAGTCAACACCAGATACAATTTTAAAAAACGTTTTAACTCACTAACAACTATCAGATATACATCCACCCACAAATACAAATAAATCACATCACAACAAAATAACCAAAATATATATTATAATACCACTCCACTAGAGTGCAAAGGGTGCAGTGTATCGGGCATGTTGTTTCTACGGTCAGATGCAGATAGTGTGCAAGGGGGTCAGAAAAAGAATAGCCCCGACACACATGTGCATTACAACTTATACTACAGCTACCATTGAAACACATGTAATATAGGCGTACATATTACTATAATTTAATACACTGTTGTTATATACATTTACAAAATAGATGACATTAAATGCAAAGCTCATGTTTTCGGAAAGAGGTTCAGAAAAAACTATAAAGAGGTGCAAAGATCATGTACAGTAACCATCACTAACTTTTTAAACAACATGAAGAATAGAAGTCCAAGATGGCGACCGAGTAGGCAGCCGTCAGCAAGTGCTCTCATGAGCCTTGCTTTTTTCGGTTGTTTTAGTGTTTGTTTTGTCAATTTGTGTTTGCTGTTGCGTCGTGTGGACCGGATGTGGATTATTTTTCAGCATTTTTGGCCACGACATTCATCAAGGAGGAGACTCAGTGCTTGGTGGTTGCGCCTTCTCGGCAGCATGGGTATACCAGCACTGTTTTTGATTGGGAGGAATGTCGGTGCCATTTGACTGTCATTGCTGGACAGCTCTGGGGCACTTGTGTTTATTTGCGCCTGTAATGGGCAGCATTTTACACAGCCCTGCTTTGTTCAGCGGAGAGATCGGTGCTGTTGCACGGTCTGCGGCTGGATGGATGCAAGGCTGAGGAGCCGACGATGAGAAGAAAGGAGCGTCAGCGCAGAGCGCCGATGCGGATGTGGAACTGGGAGTCGCAGCTTGGAGTTGAAGCCGATTACGTGGGACAGGAGATGTGAGACAATCTCTTTTGGACGCTACAACTTCGTGTTTGCATTTAAAACTTGGCTTGAAGCAGACGTGTGCACATTTTTAGCATGACGTCTGTGATCCACTGGTGAAAGGACACTTTGATCCTCTCCGCTTTCATCTCTAACTGCTTCAAACAACAAAGTGTATGCAGCAAAAGTGGTTAAGATTGCACGACTGTCTGTGTCTTATGTGTTGTGTTATATTGTTATTTTGACTTCAAGATGGCACCGCGAGAGTGGCTGCCTTTGCAGCAGTTCCTGTATTTTGTTCTTCTTCTTCCTTTCATAACTTTGCTGCTGTGAATTGGGTATTTCTCCATTGCGAGACTAACAAAGGATTTCTTATCTTAACATTAGAATAAATGAGGTGAGGTGGTATGAAGTTTAAAACGGAGAACAGGGGTGGTGGTATCCGTGGTGAACAGAGAGCGAAGATAGACTGATGTTTTGCCAATGAGTGATTCATAGACAACGACCAGTACATTTGTCTGCTTGAGTGAAAAGAGGGCCAATTCACCAAGGAGTCGTCGCTCAGTGGTACATTTGTACAGCTTACCACAAAGCCAATTTCTTCAGCCCGGAGATTGAAATCCTCATTGAGTGCTGCTCGCCTCGCCAGCACACTTGTGTTTCTTCACATTATCTTTACGAGAGAATCTTTTATCACAAACACGGCAACCGAATGGTTTTTCACCAGTGTGTGTCCTGGCGTGTCTTCCTAAATGTCCCTTCTGAGCAAATCTTTTACCACAAACCGAGCAGGAGAACTGCCTCTCCCCGGTGTGTATTCTCATGTGCCTTACAGAATCTGCCTTCAGAGTGAATCTTTGACCACAAACGGAGCAAGCAAAGGGTTTAGCTTCCGTGTGTGCTCCCATATGTCGAATTAAACGTTCCTTTGTGGAGAATCTTTGACCACAAACAGAGCAGACAAAAGATTTCTCTCCAGTGTGTATTTTTGTATGGTTAATTAAACTTGCCTTGACAGAGAATCTCTGTCCACACACTGGGCAGGCAAAGGGTTTCTCTCCAGTGTGTGTTCGAGTGTGTGTTCTTAAATGTCCCTTTTCAGAGAATCTTTTAGCGCACATGGAGCAAGAAAACGGTTTTTCCCCAGTGTGTGTTCTTTTGTGCCTGATTAAACTTATGCTGAAAGAGAATCTTTGGCCACAAACTGAGCAGACAAAAGGTTTCTCTCCAGTGTGTGTTCTTATGTGCCTTATTAGATCGGTCTTCATATGGAATCTTCTGCCGCAAACTGTGCAGGCAAATTTTTTCTCTCCACTGTGTATTCTCATGTGTACTTTCAAAGTATACTTTGAAATATAGCTTTTGCCACACTCAGGGCATTTCCAGCTCTTGTTGTCAGTGTGACAGGTCATATCACCTCTAGCATGTTCATTTTCATCATTGTCATCATCAGTCTGAGGATTGTGTGACGTTGCGTCATCACTATTTTGTGGCGGCGCTGAGAGGCAGTCTAATTGGGATCTTCCACAGTGATCTCCATCACTTTCTACAGCATCATCATTATCTTCACTCTTGACAATGACAGTCAATGGGAATTGGGTGATATCAGCCTCTTGGTCTTCCTCTTTCATGAAAGAGTGCCCTGGCTCTTCTTCCCAATCCATTTGGGAAGTCCAAGACTCGTCCTCCTCTTTAATGTCGGTTGTCTTGGGCTGTTCTTCCTCTTCAGGGTGGAAGCCTTCTTCATCCTCTTTTTCCTCTTTGATGTGGAGGTGCTCTGGCCCCAGCAGCTCAGGACAAAGAGTTTCTTCACTGACATCTGTGGGACACAAGAAGACACACATGGTTTGGCCCAGTGACAGTAGAAATTGATCGGAAATGTTATTAGAAGAGCAGCAAATGACTGTTGCTGCAATGGGATACAAGCCAGTGCAAGCCGTGAGCCAGTCCCAAGCTCAGAAAAATGCACAGGGTTGCATCACAAAGGGCATCTCGCATAAGTACGAGTCATGCAAAAGAAAGAGTTTGTTAAGAATGTCCTGGCTCTGGGGGTGAACTATCTTCAAGAGTTAAACAGTGCTTGAAGTTTCTGTTGAACCACATACACATTTCCGCCACTTGCCATCTCCCAAACAATTTCCTGATGAAACTAGATGATAGCAAAAACAATACCAATATAAAGCAGAATCAACACTACTTCACAAAATGTATTCAGTGGCAGATTATGTTTAAGTTTCAGTGTTCAGAAGGAACGTGAGCCTGTGGTTTCCTCTCGTGGTCATGATTCGGATCAACGTTTTTTTAATCTGAACATAAATGACATCGTGCAAAGCATTGAAATTCACATTATTTACAACTGACGCATACTGAATATTACATTTGCAATTATTCACTTCAGGAAGGCTAGAAAGGGTTGAGAGGGAGAGATAGGGGGAATGAAATCAAATTCCTGACATGAAACAAACACGACTAAATCATCTGGATGTAGTTCTGTCTTAGGCAAAGCAAAACAGGTTCTTAGCCAGTCATCAACACTTGATCATTCTGTGGCTGTACCTTCGATAACAGGTCGCTTCAGAGATTGGAGAGCACACCAAATATGCATTTTTACAGTCCACAACCCCAAAAAAACAGTATCTGGTTGGCTTTCAAACTCTACAGAGCAAGGAGTAATTTTTCTACAAGGTCACAGACCTGAAATATTTTTTGAAACTAGGGAATGAGGCTATCATAAAGGTAAAAAGTGAACAAACCCGCTCTGTGTATCGGAACTGGAGGCCTCTTCAAAAGAGCGTCCAGTCGTTGCAGCTCGTCGTCCTCTTTTGCTCCATTAAGTTCCCCCACGTACTCTGCAGTCATCGTCGCACACATTTTCTCACGATAATAACAACAATTCACACTCACACTTGATCGTAAGCGATGTGTCAAACGCGTCTCTTCGTTAGCGGCTAACAAGCTAACAAGCTAGCCCGAGAATCTCCACCGCGCAACGAGACGAAAAATGCCAGACACGGAGAATTCTTGGATGATATTCATTAAAATACTGCGTCGAGGCTTCAGTAGCTTCACGACTAATCCAGAGAGTTGTTTGATGAAGTGCCTGGATCACCACGTTTACGGATCTCCAACAGAACTTGTACGGCACGTCCACTTGGACAAAAATGTCCGCACGGAGCACGCAAAGAAACACGCTCAAACGTCAAGGGTGGAACCTGAGGACTGGGAGAATTTCGTCACGGGCCGCGCTATATTTTTAACCGTCGTGCAAGTGAAATACATTTTGTTGGGCCACAATACATTTAAATACAGTAATTTATTTTATTGTTCATAGTTGTATTTATTTATGAAAGGTTAGGAGATCTATAATCCTTAACTCTCATCTGTTTCGAGTACTAAAACATCAGCATCGTTTATTACTTGTGATGGATTCGTTTTCCAAATGCGGATAAGTTGTGAGCAAAATAAAAATACAACAGCAATGAGTAGGAGACATTATATTATCACGAAGTTAAATTATTTTATTATACAGACATATTGTTTTTTTTTTTTAAAAACGACCTGATCTTTCTTTCAGTGTTAATATGGTCTTTGAACGCTTTTCTTGTCCCCAACATTACTTAAAGCACCTAGTCTGACGTTTGTCCAAGTGCCTTTGCCGTACAACCTCTGAAACGGATTTATTTCTGTGTGCTGTTTACATTACCTGATTAGCCTTCCTAAATAGTTCGTCCGGAATTAGGAATGCACGTATTGAAGCCTTGACACAGTTAGTCCACCATCTCGTAATTTGTCATCCTCGTGTCAGAATAAACTCGTCTCGGCGCACGTTAAATCTTCTCGAGCTATTTTAGCCTAGCTCGCTAGCTGCTAACAAGGGTTCGCCTTTGTCAACGCCACATGCCAAGCAGACATCAAATGTGTGTCAAGTTTTGTGGTTATCCTGTAAAAAATGTTTGTAAAAGATGTGAAAGAAGAAAAGTACGAGATGGAACTTTGTGGAACAAGAGAGGAGAACGAGCGAGAAAGTGAACGCCTGAACGCTCATTTCAAGCAGCCTCAAGATGTGACAAACAGAGCAGGTTTGTAAACAATACTTCTTACCCTAGTTTAGCAACTCATTTCCAGAGGTAATATGTGTGCAAACCATGGTGCGTCTCAAGTCTTTTCCTTCAAATGTCACGTTTCGGTGGGAAACATATCTAGCTATAAATAACTAGAGTGTCAAATAAACCTGCTATGCATGCTTTTGGAATGTGGGAGGAAACTGGAGCATCAAGAGAAAACGCACATAGAGAACATGCAAACTCCATACATGGATGTCGCGGCTTGGAATCAAATCCTGCACCTCTGCACTCTCTCTCTCTCTCTCTCTGTTTTAAATCTCTCTGCACTTCGAACACAATATTAAAATGACAGCATGCAATTTGACTTAACCAAACCATGGGCATTTGTACTCTTGTGTCCTGCAGCCATATGTGAAAAATGCCATTGTCCTCAGCAACAGAAGCAAGAGTCACCTTGCGATAGAGAGAAAAAAGAGGAGGCGTGTCTGCACATTAAAGATGAAGAGGAGGAACCAGCACTCCCTCACAATAAAGAAGAAGAGGAGGCCTCCCACATACAAGAAGAGGCTGAGCCACAACTCTCCCATGTTAAGGAGGAAGAGCAGGAGGCCGATATCACCAAGTTCGTTCTGAGTGTTGTCCATTTGAAGTCAGATGGTGATGATGAATGTCAAGGTGAGGAGAACGGAGAGGTGGAGCCTCCAAGCAGCGGCTCAGCAGAAGGCCTTGGAGATCATGGGGGAGGATCACGAGCTGAGAGCCTCTTAGCTCCACTTTCAGACAGTGATGACATCATGTCACAGTCTCTTGACACGGAGGACGCACAGTCCAAAAGTTATAGGAAATGGCACACTGACAAGGCACACTGGAAATGCTTGCAGTGTGAGAAAACCTTTTGTTCAAAATGGGGTTTGAAAGTACACACAAGAATACACACTGGAGAGAAACTTTTTGCTTGCTCCATTTGTGAGAAACGGTTTACCCTGAAAACCGATTTAATAAGGCATACGAGAACGCACACTGGGGAAAAACCTTTTGTCTGCTCAATTTGTAGCAAAAGCTTCTCCGTCAAGAAGAGTTTAATCAGGCACACAAGAACACACACTGGGGAGAAGCCTTTTGCCTGCTCAGTTTGTGGTCAAAGATTTTCGGAGAAAGGAAATTTAACCAAACACATCATTACTCACACTGGAGATAAACCTTTTGCTTGCTCCGTTTGTGGTCAAAGATTCACTGAAAAGAGAAATTTAGGAAGACACGTCGTAGCGCACACTGGAGAGAAACATTTTGCCTGTACATTTTGTGGTCAACGATTCTCTGGAAAGAGCAGTTTAAGAGCGCACACAAAAACCCACACTGGAGACAAACCCTTTCCTTGCTCAGTTTGTGGTAAAAGATTCACTCGGATGACAGATTTGATGAGGCACACAAGAACGCACACTGGCGAGAAACCGTTTTCATGCTCAGTTTGTAGTAAAAGCTTTTCCCTGAAGGGACATTTAAGAACACACACAAAGACACACACTGGAGAGAAACAGTTTGCCTGCTCAGTTTGCAGTAAAAGATTTACTCTGAAGACAGATTTACTGAGGCACACAAGAACCCACACTGGCGAGAAACCGTTTTTATGCACGGTTTGTGGTAAAAAAATTCACTCAAAAATGCAGTTTGACAACGCACACAAGAACACACACCGGAGAGAAACCCTTTTTGTGCTCAACTTGTGGTCAAAGGTTCACCATGAAGACTGATTTGGTAAGGCACACAAGAACGCACACTGGAGAAAAACCTTTTGCCTGCTCTGTTTGTGGCGCGAGATTTACGATGAAGACAGATTTAACGAGGCACACCAGAACCCACACTAGGGAGAAACCTTTTACATGTTCAGTTTGCACAAAAGGATTTACTCTGACGACTGATCTATTAAGACACACAAGAACACATTCTGTGAATAAACCTTTTTCTTGCTCAGTTTGTAGTAAGAGATTCACTCTGAAGAGGTATTTAATAAGGCACACAAAAACGCATGCGGCGGAGTAACGTTTCACATGTTTGGTTTGCAATGAAAGATTTTAGGATCTTGTCAAGAGATATGTGTGTGCTGTGAAGAGCAGTCGTCTGAAGGCGTTCTGTCTGTGATAAGCTGGAAAACTGCGTACAGTATGTGATTCAGAATAAAATCAAACTGATTGTGGTGATGATGTCAAGGCAAATGTATGACAAAAATGAGTTTTTCATTGAGGAAAAGAAGGCAAGACGAGCTCTATTCATCTCTGATGCACAACTAGAGTCTTGGGATTGGCGGCGCTGGTGAGCAATGTCTGCCATTAAGTGGCGATCACTGTTACTTCAACTGAAGACTGCTCAGCTATAGTAAACCTTTTTTCTTTCAAAGATTATTCGATGACAATCGGTCAGTCATGACGACGATAAACCGAGGCAGGAACTCAAGCCTGAGATGAAAACGTGTCAGCGCAATCTGCGGGTCGTTCAGTGCGTGGGATGGGCCCTCACGAAAATAGACAGTCATCCACTTATCGTGTCTGCTTCAAAATAGAAGACGTAGTTTAGTCCTAATTCCTGCCGAAATCAATTCATTGTTTTGCTCATGCTAGTGTGTTGAAGAAAACAACATTTACCCACCCAACCATCATTTTCCTCCCGCTTTTAGTGCGTTTGTCCAAGTTGAGTTGCCGTACAACTTCCGTATACGTCTCGGGTGACCAAAAGCACGACACTAAAGAACTCAACTGAATTTGCACCGAACTTACGGAAGCCTCGACATAGTATGCCCATCACTACCTACCTGGAGTAAAATAACATGAATTAAATCTTCGTCTTGGAAAAAAACGTTCCACGTTGCGCGTTAACGCTTTTCTCACTAGCTTAGCTGTACTTGCTAACCGCTAACAAAGAGTCGCGCATATCGTCGATTTATCGCGAAGCAGAGCTCAAGTGCGACTGTAAAGCGTTGTGATTATCGTTGGAAAATGTGTGCAGAAATTGTGAAAAAAGAGTACGAAGAGGAACGCTGTGGAACAAAAGAGGAGAACGAGCGTCAACGACTGGATGCCGTTTTGAAGAAGCCTCAAGATGTGTTACGCGGAGCAGGTTGGGTCCGTTTTGTTGACTAACTTGTTCACTAACTCGTTTCATTTCGTAACAACATAACTGAGCCTATTGCTTAATTCTCGAAAATCCGGGATGTGTTGGAGGCAAACAGCGTTGTCAGCTCTGGGAGTTCTCTTTTTAAAATCTGATGGTGTCCCTTCATGACGATGTGGACCCCTGAGAATCCAGGTTGATGTTATTTTATTTGATTTCATTTCAGTTTTATTCCAGGCGAGGCGATTGACAACAAATTCTTATTTGCAATGCCAACTTGGCCTCGACAGCAGAGTAAGCAAAGCAAAAACCAACAACAAATACAAATAAAATACTGTACACGTACCACAAACGAGGCAAATGTGGTTACACTACACTTGTAATACTGTACTCTGTTACAGTGGTAAAAAAAACATATTACTCTTGCAAATGAGAATCTGTTTTCAAATGCCTTGCTTGGGTAAATAAATGGTTAATTAAAACAAAACAAAAATGCTTACATTAATTTTCTTTTGCACAGTGTCTTTTCCTAATCTCACTCAGCTGTGTGCACAATCTTCAACCTTTTAAAAAATGCCTGATGCCTGTGATGAGCGCAATCTGTTGACAAGTATTTTTGTATTTATAGTGACATAGGATTCGTAGTGCAACTTTACATCGTGCAATGCATAGTTTTTGGTTCTATTTTAAAATGCACTCAATCATGGTTTGTAATATGGGCAGCTGCTTGCCAGTGTGATAAGCTACAATTTTCATACGGTCTGATTAATCGACTAATTGCAAACATAATCGGTGATTAGTTTACCGTCACAATAATTGTTTATGGCAGCCATCTACCCTCATCCTCTCCCCAGCGTGCTGCCCTGCCAATGCTCAAACACATCCCGTTGCATTGTAAGAACATGTGTTTGGCTTCTTGTGTTTTTCAGACACCAGTGAAGAAGATCTTCATCTAGAGATGCAGGAGCCAGAGTTCTCTTCCGTTAAAGAGGAGGAGGAGGAGGAGGATGGACCCTCCCACATCAAAAAGGAAGAGGTGCCAGAGCCACGCCAAATTAAAGAGGAAGAGGAGCCACAGTGTCCTCACACGAAAGAGGGGACCAAACATGTGAAAGAGGAAGAGGAGCCAGACCCCCCTCATATTAAAGAGGAAGACCTGGAGTTAGATATTACAGAGTTCCCATCCACAGTCATTGTGAAGTGTGAAGATGATGACGACGACGACGATGGAGAAGGTGATCGAGAAGACTGTGGAGGATACCAACAAGACGGCCTCTTGGCTCCGCTGTCACACTGTCCTGACACTGGCCATTGCACTGATGAACACGCAGGAGGTCATGTGACAGGTCACACTGATAACCAACACGTGAAATGCTCTCAATGCAACAAAACCTTTTTCAACAAGTCCGCGTTGCGACGACACACCAGAACGCACAATCGAGACAAGTCTTTTGCCTGCTCAGTTTGTGGCAAAAGATTTACTCATAAGGGACATTTGAACATCCACATGCGGATGCACACGAAAGAGAAGCCTTTTTCCTGCTCACTTTGTGGCCTGAAAGTGACTCATAAGAGTACCTTAACGTATCACATGACAATTCACACCGGAGAGAAACCTTTTGTCTGCTCGGTCTGCAACTTAAGTTTCGGAAGACGTTCGTATTTGATCAAACACACACGAATACACACTGGGGAGAAACCCTTTTCCTGTTCAGTTTGTGATAAAAGATTCTGTATCAAGGCAGATTTAAAAAAACACACACGCACACACACTGGCGAAAAACCCTTTGCCTGTACAGTTTGTGGTAAAAGTTTCTCCTTAAAGGGGAGTTTAAGAACACACACACGGACACACACTGGGGAGAAGCCATTTGTCTGCTCAGTTTGTGGTAAAAGTTTCACTGTGAGAACGTGTTTAATAAGGCACACCCGGACGCATGATGGGGAGAAACCTTTTGCCTGTTCAATTTGTGGTAAACGATTCCACGTGAAGACATGTTTGACAAGGCACACACGAACGCACACCGGTGAGAAACCTTTTGCTTGCGCGGTCTGCGGCTTAACCTTCATTGATCGCACAGGATTGGTTCGACACACGAGAACACACACTGGGGAGAAACTGTTTTCATGCTCTGTTTGTGGTAAAAAGTTCACGCAAAGGTGCATATTGGAGAAACACATGAGAATACACACTGGTGAAAAACCATTCAGTTGTAGCCTGTGTGATAAGAGATTCACTCGTAAGGATCGCGTTAAGAGACACAAGTGCGCCGGTCAGAATAGCAGTGGGAAATGAAGCTTTGCAAAAAAATCTCAAGGAACTTTCACTTTGAGCCGAGATGGAAACACGTACACGTGATCCTATGCAAAGTACGGATCTTGAAGCAGCTTATGTTTCCTTTTCTAACTACCTTCTTGCCATGGGTGCTGCAAGGCCTAGGAGAGAGAGAGTGGGAGGAGCTTGAGAGGGTGGCCACATTATGCTCGGGGAAGCTCCGCAGTAGGAAAAGATTACACGTAACGACTGCTTCAGAATACTTTGGTGGTCTTGAGATTTTTTTTTTTTTTTAACCCAGTATCGATTCATGATGCCATGTGCCTGACTGAGAAAGCAGCCCCATTTGGTGCATTATCTTTGTACACTGCACAGGCAATTTTGATGGTACCCTTTTGTTTAAAATAAAGGTTTATTTGAAGGTTTATAACTGCTCTGACTACTCTGCTCACATCTGTGCATTTTCTCTTAGCATGACTCTACTTTTAATTTGTGTTTTGAATTGGTTCTTTCATACTTTGATTTTTTTTTTTTTTTTAAACATTGGTCTTACTTTTACATGTAGACGAAGTCCGGGCGCCTCTCCATCTGAACAAACTTCTCAGTTACGCGCTTGTAAAAGTCCTCCTTTTGTTCCTTCAGCTTGACGAGTCTCTCCTTCTCAACAGAGATAATTGCCAGCGCAGACTGGCTCTCTTGATCGGTCCTATTGCGAAAAAATGCTTGGAGTCTATTCAACGTTGAGGTTGACCTTTCCGCTGACTCGGTCGCTGTGAGTGGCACAGTGAGCACAAGATGGAGCAATTTTGTTGCCTCCGGTACGGTCTGCACCAAGGCCTTGTCGGTCAAAAAGCGCAGAAGCTGTCCAGGACTTTTGCATTGGTTCCTGACAGTTTTGGAGCCGTACAGTCCGAGGAGATCAGCTTTTAGTCTCACCAAATCGAAGAACCTGGCGTACTTGAACAGGCTCTGCAGTTTGGCGTCTTCAAAATTCTGGGACATTTGTTCAAATTTGGAGCAATCAACTAAGTCAAAGAATGCAAGATGGTCAAAACGATGGAATCGACTTCGCATTTGAAAAGTGACATTGTCCAGAACGTCGTAGTAGACCTGCTTCCGCTCCTCTCGGACTGAGCGCGTGCTTGTTTCACTTTTGCTGTCTGTCAGGCCCAGCGTGGCGCATTTCTGCTCAAATCGCTTGTGGAAAGTGTGATATTCCAAGTTCATGCGCTCCAGTGCTTCCATTGTGTCCTGGATTTGCGTGCAACAACGTCCAATGTCCATCGCTTTGTTTTCAAGCAATTGGAAAAGCGCGTCGGTTTCCTCAAAAATGCCCTCGTAGAGCATCATTAAAAAGCACGTGGAGGCTTTCGATAGCCAACGATCGTATCCAGAAGCAGCCATTAAAGTCTCACTATCCCAGCTGTCGGGATGTTGGCTCATGACCCGGAATGCCGCTCGCAGATCGGCTTGATGCGCGCTTATGTCTTGTAGCAGTCTGGAATCGGAGCTCCACCTCGTGGGCGCCACTCGGGGCAAACGACGCTTCACGACATCGTCCAGTAAGTTGCCGCGCTTTGTGGACTGGCTAAAAAAGGTGCCGAGTCCCTCGGCGGTTTTCCAAAAGGCTCGACACGCATGCAACCATTTTGCTGAATGCAACAAGAGGAGATTCAGGTTGTGCGCCCAACAGTGGGTCAGCATCGCTTCGGGTGCTTTTTCTTTTATTTTCTCCTGCACAGCGTTCAGCTCCGATGCCCTCACCGCAGCCCCATCGTAAGTCTGAGCGACCAGCTTGTCCACACACTCATATTTATCCAACAGCCCCAAAACATATTCAGCTACGGCGGGAACCCGCCTGTCGCCACTCACGTCGTCGAAGCCCAAAAACGCCTCCTTCACTTCGCTTTTAGCCACATAACGCAAAATGACCGACACGTGCGCTCTGTTGGAGACGTCCGTTGTCTCGTCGACTTGGACGGCAACAAACGGCACACCCTTCATCTCCTTTTTCACATCACTTCGGATGACATCGGCGACGGCTTCGATCAAATCCTTCTCTATTCTGTCGGAGAAGCCGTTGAAGGCAGATTTCTTCAACAGTCTGTCCAGTTTGGCATCTTTCTCAGCAAAAGCATGCACAAGTTGCACATAGTTGCCGCAGCTTGCATTTGCGTCGTGACCGCGTAACGTCAGCTCCTGTTTAGCAAGGAAGCAGATAATACAGATGAGATATTTCAAAAGCTCTCGATTTTCTTTTACCTTAGCATTGTGGATGCTAACGTTAAGTCTGCGTTGTTCATCCAAAGCTAAATCGATCCTCGAGGCCCCAAAAGTTTTCCAAGCAATTTGGCTGCCGATGTGCGAAGTGGATCTCTCATGTTGACTGAGGCTTCTTGGTAAATTTTTCATGTCCCAATATCCCGTTTTTGTCCACATATTTTCACACGTGGAGAACAGCAAACAGGGGAAACAGAACAGGCGGTTCCTTCGAGGGCAGCCACACAGCCAGTCCTTACGTTTGTACCACTCGCTTTTAAAATGGCGGGTTAATTTTGAACCGCACGTTTGAGACAGATCCGTAAGCTCTGGCGTTGGTCTGCCTTTCTGAATTAGATCCTGTTTGGATCGGTGGTCCATTTTTGAGAACTTGGAAAAGTTGATGATGCCAGTCAAAGGAGACGTGGTGGTTTCAGTCTGTTGCTTCTCATTAGGATGGGGGGCCTCTGGCTCCTCCTCCTCCTCTTCTTCTTCTTTAATGTGGGGGAACTGCGGCATCACTTCTTCTTTAACATGGGGGAGCTCTGGCTCTTTTTCCTTTTTGATGCGGGAGGCCCCTGGCTCCTGTTGTGCCACCGAGGAGCGCCACTCCTGCTGCTTCGGATAAAGATCATCACTGACGTCTGCAGGACACAACAAGACAAAGGCACACTGTTTGGCAATTGGACCGATCCGTCAGGCACCCGCGTGGTAGTTGTGGTGGCCTTGCCAGAACCGACACTGGCCCTGATATAAAACAATCAACAAAATTATATAAGTAGTCCTACCTGTGGATTAAATCGTGACGTGTGTAGTTTAGAAAAGGAAACAAAACAATGAAAAAACAGTTTTAAAATCCGCTCCAGGAAACGCAAGGCATTGTCACAACGAGCTCTGGCTCTTGGTTATCATTGTTTCCACATGAGAGTTTTCACGAATAAGGTGGATAGATATTGTGTTTCAAAACAATATTGAACAAAGTTTATATGGAGGCCTCCATGTCAATGAAATAGTGAACCGTGCAATTATTTAAGATGTTTTCAAATTATTTTGTGTCTAAATTCTATTTTAAAGGGGGCGTATATAAAGTAACACTTGTAGAACCCACTTCCTAACATGGAAATTGAAGAAAAAAATAAAAACACGTCATTTAACGTAACATGACCGGCTGTCCGCGAGTCACCCACACTTGCTGATGTTTTAAGTGTTGCTTCGGGATTGGTATCAAGCTACTTTTTGCGGGTGGTGAATATCGAAGTCTTTCGAAATTGTGACAAAGCAGTTAGGAGTAAAAGGTGAACAAACCTGCTCTGTGCAACACAACGCGAGGCTTCTTGAAAACCGCCTCCGCGAGTTGTTGCTCGCTCTCCTCGTACTCTTCTTTCACATTTTCGTCGCCCATTTTCACCCGATAATCACAACACTTTAACTTGGTCTTTGCTTTGATAACCAACGTGTCTCTTTGTTTGCGGCTAACAGGCTAAGCTACGCTAGCCCGGGAAGCTTCAACGTGCACCAAAGCGAGTGTGTCTGGATTCGAAAATGTCATCAATTGTGTTTCATTGTAGGAATTTGAAGAGAGGCGCACCGTATCCAAGCCCCAGTGCGGTCTACACCAATTCGTAAAGAAATATGAAATGCGCGTAGTGGAGTAAAAGTTAGGATGAGTTCATCAGAGGAAGTCGTAAGGCGAGTCCACTCGGACAAAATTGGAGACACGCCTAATTTCAAGAAAACTGGTTTGCGATAGCAAAGTCTTTAAAACAAAAATGACAAAAACAGGATGTACTATAAATACGCTTTTAACTGTTGCGCTTCTATTCATAGAGCATTCACACACTACTTTATATACTTTTAGCTACTCTCATATTCACACACAATACAGGATGGAAAAAAACACAAAATTGTACATTTTGCCCAAAAAAACCCTCACAATCAAATCATATAAAAATGAAAAGGAAAATAAAAATTAAAAGAACATAATATTGCAGTCTAAACAGCGGCGGCATTACCAAAGTCAATTTTCTTTCTGCTTATTGTTCCTCGTCGGACCTTTTTGTAGAGACAATCCAGGCAAGCAACGGAAAGTACAGTACCCGTCTGTGGCGTGTTCCATCACACGAGAATTTACTTGGAGGACTGTCCTGACACAAAACGGCATGGTTCGGTTGATCATTTTGGTTTTCGTAGATAGAATGTTTGTCTTTTGTGTTAGTATTCAAGTAAAGTTCACCTTCGAGTGCTAAATAAACACCAATCATGACAAAGATGGACAAGGACAGTTGTTGATTATTAGGAGAAAATAAGTAAAACTGTGTACTGTTTTTTTTTTATTGCAATAACATACATTTTTACATCATTCACATTTCATTCCACAGTCGCGCCCACACACACACACACACACACACACACACACACACAACCCCAAAGTAAATGCTAACATGTATCGCCAAATATTGTTTATAAAAGTCCATGCAATGTACAGGGCACAATTATTCTCCCTTGGGAAATGAATGGCTCACAGAAACCACCCAAAAAAAAACCCATTAAATTGACATTCAAGCACATCTTGGAAGTATGTCGACTTTTGTAATAACTCAAAAAACACTGCAGACGGATACAATACACCATGGGTCTTTTGTCATTGATTTATTTATTGATTTGGCATTTTAACATCACAAAAATATGCTGTCGTACTTGATCCAGGATCACAAACACTTTCCAGATCACCGTGGACACTCAGTTTTTTCCGCCTATGTATAGCTTCATTGATCACTACTGTTGTCACCAGTACACTTGTGCCTTGTAACGTAAGCCTTACTTAAGAAACGTTTTTCACAGATGCTGCAGCTGAAGGGTTTTTCCCCAGTGTGCTTTCGTGTGTGCGTTGTTAAATTTGCCTTTGTCGACATTCTTTGACCGCAAACCGAGCAAGCAAAAGGTTTCTCGCCAGTATGTGTTCTGGCGTGTCTTGTTAAGTTTCCCCTGACAGAGAACCTTTTACCGCAAACCAAGCAGGCAAATGTTTTTTGCCCCGTGTGCGTTCTAGTATGTGTAATTAAACTGGTCTGTAAAGTGAATCTTTCATCGCAAAATGAGCAGGCAAAAGGTTTCTCTTCTGTGTGTGTTCTTGTGTGTCTCGTTAAGTTTGGCTTTGTAGAGAAACTTTGATCACAAACTGAACAGACAAAAGGTTTCTCTCCAGTATGTGTTCTTGTGTGTCGTCTTAAGTTTCCCCTTACAGAGAATCTTTGACCACAAAGCAAGCAGGCAAACGGTTTTTCTCCAGTGTGTGTTCTTGTGTGCGTTGTTAAATTAGACTTCTGAGTAAATTGTTTACCACAAACTGAACAGACAAACGGTTTCTCCTCTGTGTGAGTTCGTGTGTGTTTTTTTAAATTTGTCTTTTGAGTAAATTTTTTACCACAAAAAGAACACTCAAAAGGTTTCTCCTCGGTGTGTGTTCTTGTGTGTATTTTTAAGTTTTCCCTAAAAGAGAATCGTTGAGCACAAACCGAGCAGGCAAAAGGTTTCTCTCCAGTGTGTATTCTCATGTGTTCTTTCAAAACACGCTTGGTGCTTAATGTTTTTCCACACTCCGAACATTTCCAGTGTTTTTTCTCAGTGTGACATGTCACATCGTCTTTTATGTATTCATCCTCCCCATCCTCATCCTCCTCATTATTATCATCATCTCCAGCTTCATAGTCATCATCATTGTCGTCATCATCGTCGTCATCGTCACCATCAGGAGTGTGTGACGACATGTCGTCACTATCTGATAGTGGAGCAAAAAGGCTGTCAGCTTGTGAGCCTCTACAGTGGTCGCCATGACCTCCTGTTGTCATGCGGTGCCTTTGGCTACTCCTTCGAAGCTCTGCCCCTCCGTTCTTCTCACTTTGACCTTCGTCATCATCATCACTTTCCAAATAGACAACAGTCAATGGCAAATCGGTGAAGTCTTCCTCCTCTTTGATGCAGGGGCTCTCTTGTTCGTCTTCCTCATCTTCTATATTGTAGTGGAGCTCATCTTCTTCCTCCTCCTCCTCCTCCTCCTCTTCCTCTTTAACATAGAGTGGCTCTTCCTCCTCTTCCTCTTTAACGTGGAGGTCCTCTGGTTCCTGTTGATCTGGGCGAAGATCTTCAAAAACGGTGGCTGGATGTAAGAGGACAAAACACATGGCTTGGTGGAGTCAAATCTCATCCTGTGACTTTGATATTGTGTATTGTTGTTCATTTGGTTGTACCTTGACTGACAAGCTTAATTTGGTCTGTGACCAAGTTTGTAACTCAAATCACCCTCACATGAAATCAATTTGTCAATGTTCCCTATTGAAATGCCATTTATCTGATAAAAAAAAAAAAAGTTATGTTTTTACTGATTAAACAAAAGCACTATAGCAGGGATAGGGAACTCCGGTTCCTCCAGAGGAATATCCTGCCTGCTTTCGATCTAGCCCTACCTCAACACACCTGATTTAAAATGATCAGCTCATCACCAAGCTCTGAAGAAGCCTGAAACAATCATGATCAATTGAATCAGGTGTGTTAGAGTAGGGAGGGATCTAAAACTGGCAGGATATGGCTCTCGAGGAACCGGAGTTCCCTTCCCCTGCACGGTAGAATTTGTCAACTTGGCAAACAAGGCATTCAAGCTTTATTTGATTCGGGTTCCGATGAATCTTAACATTACAAGCAATATTATACACTATAGTTCTTGTAATTAAAATTATGTGGACTGTTATACAGTTATATTTGTGGATGGGTGTTTTTTAAATGTTTTTAAAATCATATTTTTGTTGAATGTTTACAATACATGGTGTTTTTTGTTTTCTATCTTGCACAAAATGCAGATTATTTAAAGAAAAACAAAAACAAAACTAACCATAAAAAAAATCACACTAATAAAAACTGAAAGCTTATAAAAAGTATATAAAAAAACAAGTGAAACTAGAACAACGAGCAGCTATGAAGGGCCCTCGTAACTCTGGCCACGTTGCGGTACTCCCGCATAGGACAAGGCATGACAGTATGACGTCATAGACTTTTTGTAGGTCCTGGGTATTTCCATATGCTTCCCGATTTTCGTAGATCTATGACATGTGAAATGAGCACAACTGAGCCATTTTGATGAAACTGAAAAATAAACCTCTTGCCAGGCCCGATGTAACAATGATGACGTTCAGACATTAAGATTAAAATAAAAATAAGGGGCTCCAGTCCAGGCCCGCTCAGGATTCAATTCGACTTGTTCTTGGGATAGTAACTGGGACTCAGTATGACTTGCAGATATGTGATTAACCCCGCCTCCGCACAGATACAAAGTTTGATAAAGTTTTCACATTTCTGGATTGTCTTAACAGTTCCAATATTTTGTTTAACGACATTTGTGAATATGCCATTTAGTAGAAAGAAGATGAATTGAACTAACCTGCTCTGTGGAGCACATCTCGAGGCTGCTGGAAAACAGAGCGCACTTGGAAGCGTCGTGGCTCGTTTTCCTCGGTCGTTGCAAAAAGTTCCTCTTTGTAGTCCGCAGTCTTTCTTGTACACATTTCCACACGATATCACAACGCCTTACACTCCCACTTGAGCTCTGATTAGCAAGGCGATGCGAACAAACGCGTCTCTTTGTTAGCTGCTAGCAAGCTAAACTAGCTCGATAGACTTTGAGAGAAGAGATTCACCGGGGATTAAGATTCAACAATTTAAGTCTCGTCGCGATGCACGTCCTGTGTTGAGACTTCAGTGCGTTCACTACTTATACAGAGTTGGTAAATCAAGCTCGTGTAGTTTTACATTTAAAAACAAACAAAACAAACCCTCATGGTTTAACGATAGTAGTACAGCAACCGCACTTGGACAGATGTCCCAGAATTCTTTGCGCGTCTCGACGACGCGAAGCCGGGAGGAACTCAACTTCCCCAAAGTAAATTCCTTTGTACTTTGTATATGTACCTATTTGAACGTCATCCAACGTTAAAAACACGTCGAACCTCTCTGGGGCCCCAAAACCTTTAATGTTGTTGAAAATAATCGACGTTAATGGGCCTATGCAGAATGTGGATGTTTTCACTCCTACTGCAGTTGGAGGAACCTCCGACTCCTTGAGAGGCGTATCGTGCCTGTTTTAAATGTAACACAGCCGATTCAAATGATCAGCAAACGATCCCGATCATTTGTTAATAAGGTGTGTTGGCGGAGGGAGACATATAAAGCAGGGCGGGATACGGCTCTCAGGGAACCGGAGTTCCGTACCTTGGCTCCACAGAATTCTCTAAACATGAAAAATCTAATTAGAGCGAATCTGTACGTGTGCGCGTTAAAAGGGCCATTCAGTGTATGAGGTGACTTTTTCCATGAAATTGTTTCTCACGAGTTCGAAGCGTACGGTTCTTATTTTTTCTTCTTCTTGGAGTACAGTATTAGCTGTTCTTCCATGTAGTTTTGTGATAAGAACTCATTGCTTTGCATGCAGTTTTACGACGAGACAAAATGGCTGGCTTGAAAAGTGACAGAGCTCACCGGAGAAACCGTTTATCGTGACAAACGATAGAAAAACGCTGCGAGCCTTGGGCTTGAGCAGTCCCAGAAACTCGTACGACGGCAGAGACGTGAGGCAGTGCTGGGAGATTATGCACAGAGGCAAAGTGAACATTTCTGTCAGAAACCCTTCGGAAAAACTCACCTTGTCAAATAAACACCGAGCGAGCAATCATCAGGCACAACATTGAAAAAGGAAAAACAAATCAGACCATCGTGCTGTTGAGAGAATATTGGATTGTTCACCATAGAAACCCATTTTGCGAAACAACGCAAAAATGCTATTTAGTACTTGTAGTACAAAAAAAAAACGTTAAAAAGCGCGAAACCTTAAGGTGTGCCATATGGTCCAAATGTATATCCTGATACAGGTAATTTTCCATGCTTATATTGATCCCAATATAGCATTTTCCTTGTGGTGACATGTAAAGAATGGCAATTCTCTGTGCCTTCTATTTATTTATAATATTTATTTAAATAATAAATACGTACCGCTAAAGCCTCACAGCTCCAAAATCATCACTTGACAGAGACCCCAAACGGGCTCTTTGTTCAACCATTCACACTGCATCATCAAAGAGAGCGAGAGCCTTAATCACAAAGAAATTCGGAGATGTGTTCTTACTTCGCACACAAGTTGGAAACGCAGACACAAAATCAGCATCAGATCCATCACACGTGTGGAGCGGCCCATTTTCATTGAGCCACTGTAGAATAACGGCCTATCTAAAAGGAAGCACCCAATTTTTCAACCACCAATTTCCTATCAGCACCCGCATGTAAACATTTGTTGATTTGATGAGCTTGCCATTCGCTACGCCTCATCAACTGACAGCTATCAGTTTTGATGCAAACGTTTCTGAGAACGTTTCAGGCCCTTAGCATCTACGACAAACTCGGCAGAAATGTTGATTCATTTCATCGCTTTACATATTCTGTCAATAAAACTAACATACACTGTACTTACAATAAGTAACGAACCAAGACCAGTTACTGTTACATTAAAAAAAAAAACAACTATCACAAGAGACATTAGTATGAAAAGATTCCTACAGGCTCACTCATCATTGCACTTTATGCACATTTTTAACATGCTTCTTCAAGTGTCCAGACTGTGTAAAGTGTTTCGGGCAGTGGGGGCAAGAATGTGGTTTCTCCCCAGTATGGATATACTTGTGCCTTTTGAGGTTGTTCTGGTCGAAAAATCCTTTCCCGCAATACGGACACCAGTGTCTTTTCTCGCCGCGATGCCACCTCAGATGAGCGTTGAGCTCGACGCTCCTGACAAATTTCTTTTCGCACAGGTGGCAGTGGAACGGTTTCTCCCCCGTATGAGTTCGGATGTGGGTCTCCACGTCTCGCTTTGTGAAGAACGCTTTGTTGCAGAGCTGGCAGACAAAGGGCTTCCGTTTGCCGTGGACCATCTGGAGATGTTTGTTGAGGCCGAAACCGTAGACAAAACCCTTCCCACACTGCTGGCAAATATGGAGCCTGCCGTTGCAATGAACTTGGCCGTGGCGCTTCAGACCCTTGGCGTCGGGGAAGCTCTTGCCGCAGCGCGTGCAACAGAAGGGCCGGTGGCCGGTGTGGAGACTGATGTGGCTCTCCAGGGCCGCGCTACTGCTCAGAACGCGGCCGCATTCCTCGCACTGGTTCTTCAGCAGCTTCTTCCCATTGCCGGATCGATGGCGCATGGGCGGCGCGGCGGCCCGAGGCTCTGGCCGCATTGCTTTGCGGGCTCGCACTTTAGGAGTGCAAACCGTGTCGGAAGTGTATTTGTTTCTCCTTTTATCATCGGCATGATGGTTGATTGGCTGCTTCATTTTCATTCCTTTTGTCTGAGAGTCTTTTCCTACCTCCTTGCTTCTTGCCGCTTTGGCTAATTTCTTTGCATTCTGTCCCTTTATGTTATTTTCTTCCGCAGGAGACTTTTGATTTAAACTGGACTTCTGGGCAGTACCTGCTTCAATCTTACTGGAACCGGCCCCATTTTCAGTCCATTTTGGAGATGCGGTTTTGCGCAGGAACGTATCTGATTCTTGTTTGGAGGTTTTCTCTCCTCTAGAGAAGATGCAATTCCTGATAGAGTTGGAATGGCAAGGTTGAGGTCTGGGGTCATTTGGAATTGAACTGGAATCAGTCTGACTGACCGGAGTTAACCGGGGTGGAGGATGAGCTCCGATTGATTTCATCCTTAGAGAAGAAGGGAAAGTCTTTGCATGGGCAGACGGGCCTGGAGGACAATTTGCATGGATTTTTTCAACGCTGGCATTTTCTTTAGGAGAGAGCGACGTCTTACGACTCTTAGCTGGGAATTTAGTCTTCGAAGGGGTGGTGATGTTTTGAACTCGATTTGACTTCAGACACACAGTTGCCGCTTTCAACTCATTTGGGCCATCCTCGTCTTTACTTGCGCTCGACTGTCTGGTGACCACCGCAGCGGGTGGAGCTTGTTTAATGCAACATTTCTCTTCTATTTCGGCGTGTGGCTCTATGGTGTCTTTTAGGGATAGCCTATACAAACTCACAATTGGTTTGCGAGGGGTAACAGACGCAGGCTCAAATGGAGTCTTACTTTCGGGGGAACTGATGTTTGTACGCCGCCGATTGCCGAGACTCGCTGGGGAAAATTCCGTTTCGGTTCGTGATCCACTGGGCCTCAAGGAACTGGCTGTGTTTGTGGGAAGAGGACGAGGCTTGTGGGTGGACTCGTGTTCATTTCTGCCAGCGTTCTCTAATCTAGGTTTCTTGGTGGACCTTTCAGGGATATCCATTTCTTCTGTAAGTGGCCGCGCATTTGTTTTTGCTCTTCTAGCCTGCGAGCGCGTTTTGAGGTGAACTCCGAGACGGGCAAAAAAGGATTTTCTGTGTGACTTGCTCATGCGACCGGGACCGGGCCCTTCACAGGAGCTTTGGCCATCTGCAGACTCCGAGCTCGATGTCTACAATACAAGAATGCGGCAGATTATTCCGGCGTAGTGCCATCCACAAACACAAATGGTTGCAACATTTTCGGTAACGAGTTACTGATAAGATTAAATCTGTATCAGCCATTGAAAATGGCTTTTTTCGGGTTTATGCAAATATCCCAAAAACTGCTAATCCGTGGCCTACTGATGGTTTCTTGATGTGATTAATGCTTATTCACATTGTATTTAGCGCTTGGAACGGCCAACTCAAGGCCTGATATTTGACAAAACCGACGTCATGATTTTTAATGTTTTTAATGATCCACGTGAACCCGGTTCTAGACAGAGTCGTAAGTTGTGCATTACCTTTTTGGCGTCTTGAATGACAGGCATCACTGCCAACTGTGCAAGGAACTCGGTTTTCGTCAGTTGTAAATGAGGTTCAGATAGATCCCTGGTGACTGGGGTTGATTGGAGAGGATTTGAAAAGTCATTTTGTGAAACCAAGTCCTTTTCCGCATTTTTGATTCCTTTCTCATCCAGAGGAACCGTTTTACACGCTTGGTCAGATCCGGCGGAAAGCCCGGTCTCGCCAAAGTCCACGGTTTTCTCCGAGACTGGTTCAGACGCATTGGAAGGCGCGCAGGGTGACAAAGCAGGGGCCGCTGCCTCTCTCAAAGCGGAGCTTGGCACCGCCTTCTCTGACACAGACGAGACACTTGAAGTTTGAGCAACAAACACATCTTTTGTTTTGGGACACGCGCTGCTTGATGATGCAGCCGCTCCGGATGGATGCAGCATTGTCTTTGGTGCCTGGTCATTGACCAAAGATGAGGTGCCGTCCGGTGGGACAACTTCAGATTTCCTTTCACGAGAAAGCAGCTGTGAAACCAAAACTGATCCAGTGGACAATACCGGATATGATAGCCTCTTTAGTCGAATTACTGGAACGAGTGGAAAACACTTTTGCGGTATATTCACAGTTGACAATGTTGCTGCCTGCTGCGGCGGAGTTCGTTCTAAACTTTCACAAAGGCCCGTCAGCTGTGCCGAACCGTCTACCTGCGGGGATGACAACGGGGAGTTTATCGGTACGCTCCCAGCGGAGATTGCTGCTGCTTCTTCCCCACGAGGTATTTCTGAACTCTCACAATCGCTGCTCGGGGGCCGCGACGGGCATTCCGGGTGTGTGGATGACAACAGCGATAAAATAAACGGTGTCTGTTCAGTGAGCAGCAGTGTTTCCTTTTCATCGGAAGTCACTTGAGCACCGACGTCTGGGCGCCGCGATGACAACGTGACGGCCGGTCCGATTGAATTCGGGCGAGTGGGTGCAACTTGTGCCTCAGACAGTTGCGACTGGTTTGCCACAACATCTGCAGTTCGCCGAATTATTATTGTTATTTTTTTGCAGGGTGTCGGGCCTGGGCTTTGCTCCGTTGAGCTGACCGTTGGTTTCGACATAATAAAGGGATACACTGTTGTCAAAGGTGCGTCATTTTTCCTTTGAGGAAGTCCAGCGGAGGAAGACGCGGGTAATGTAGATTTATTTTGGGCAGCAGCAACTGTTGAGACAACAGCTGAAATCTGGTTTGGTGACAGCGGGGCAATCATACCTTGTGAATTGGAGGATGGCGTTTTGGAAAACACAAAGATTTTTTGGGGGACGAGGTCCGAGCCCGCCGTTGTGTCCGATGGTTCTGCCAAAACACTTCCAGGATGGGGAGCGCACTGCTCAAGTGAGTTGCTTACTGCAGCAGTCGACAATGACGTTGGGGTCATGTCAGAAGGCTCAACGCCGTGTTTTGGTTGGGGCACCGCAGAATCTCGACTGAGGGGCTGAGAATTGCCGGGTTCCGTTGTACGAGTGTCAAACGCTGTCTCACTTGGTGACTCTTCTTCTGTGCCATGGTGGCTTTCGTTGGTGGTTGGTGGTGACTGCGGTGCCGCCGCTTGGTGAGGTAATGGCGATCGCGCAACAGAGGGCGTACACTGGCCTTGGGCTGTTGCGTTTTCTTGTGCCGAGATACGATTCTTGGACTGACCCATGGCTTCAACGAGTAGCATCGCGTCCTGGAGCATGACAGAGCTTTTATGTATCCTGAGCGGATGCGGTCGCGCTTGTGGTGATGAAGCCGTGAGACTACTAGATGAACCGTTCGCGTCATCGGGCAGCGCACCGTCAGCAACGGTTGAAGGGAACAAAAGTGTTTCCTTTGGGGACTTTGGCAGGCATTTCACACTTTTTCTATTTTTCCCGGCTTTGTTTTCTTGCCCCTCTGTTTCCCACCTGGTCTCATCGTCCATCACGCCACATTTTATTTGTTCTCCCGGCAGTCTATCCGGCATTGTTGACTGAACGTTTTGTTCATGGACTGCCGTTTCCCCACCTGACAATCGCGTCATTCGAACCTGTGATGGCTCCAACTCTTGGGCGCCCAGTGCAGCTAATGCTTGAGCTGAATCAGATGCCGCTTCCATGTTGTCACTCGCTGTACCAAGTAAGTTAAGATAACTTACTGCCTCTATTGACTGATTCCGTGCCACGTGTAAATTGCGATCCTCTTCCAAACTAGGGTGAACTGTGGCCACTTGAGTGCCATGGTGTTTTTTGAGCTCTTCGTTGGAACACTGCTGTTGAGTCTCAGGGCCAGCGGTTTTAGAACCACACGCGGATATTGGTGGTGGATCTGGGAAAAGAAAGTAAATGATTAAAGAGACTTAACATGGACAAGACATGTCGGGTTTGTAAACCTTTTCAAGTACAATTTCAAGATTTGTGTCAATATTGTCCGTCAGTTTTTACATCTCACCTGCACACAATATGCTTCTGCTGACTACAGTGGGTTCTGAGTCCTTTAAAACGGAAGAAAGACAAATATTGCATATAATTCAGGACAGAAGACACTGTCATGCTATAAATATTGACATTGCACCAATTCCACCGAGGTTGATTAAAAAAAATTATAAAGGACGTATATAGACAATAAATAAACATACCATATTTTCCACACTAAAAGGTGCACCGGATTATGAGGCGCACCTTCAATGAATGGCCTATTTTGTAATTGTTTTCATATATTGGACGCACCGCATTATAAGACGCAATCTACAATGCATCCACTAGATGGAGCTACGCTCAAGGAAACACCAAGAGAACAATCAGATGTCAGTAAAACTTATTTAGTAGAGCAGCAACACGGTTCACTTAACCAACAGCAAGTTATAACATTGACTCGTTAACGTTGAACTGTCTTGCCGCTGCTCTATTTCCGGGTTCAACTGCATAACCTGATAGTCTTAAGTTTGAACCCTGTGTTGCAAGCACGCCTTTTGGTGCAGAAAATACGGTCCTGAAAGCATGCCAATATGTGAATGCAACCAAGTGATGACAGCACGTGACAAAACAGAGACTTTAGCACTTTGAATCGTCTGGTGTACAAATATCACTCTTGAAATGAACACGCTCCACCTTGCTTGTGGTCTTCGTTTTTTTGCAACAGGACACGTACGCACCTCGTGGTTTGGAAGGGAAACTGTCGGGCTTGAATGTCCTTCTTTTGCAGCGTCACTGTCATGATTATTGAGCAGAAGGTACACCACTTCCTCTCCTTGACATTGTTCGCCTTCTTGGTTCATGATTTGCCCCACTGGTTCCACGAACAGAAAAAGCTGGCCACGGTCTACAAACATTTACACAAATTGAAGTGAACATTCTTAAGTGCACTGACTATACCACTTGGACGGGGTATCTTGATACATTGCAAACAATATGTTCAGGATGTTTCATCCATTTCCCGAAGCAAGCAATGAGGAAAATTCAAAAAACAATACGATTCACAGTATTACACATATGATGCAATATGATTTACGTGGTTTGACACAACACAGTAGGATGATAAAACGCAAAGAATACTGAGGTGGTACTGGTACTCGAAAGAGCTTGCTTTACTTGGACAATACACATACATGAAAATGAGGACAAACAATACTTTTATACTTTTACTTCATCCATCCATCCATCCATTTTCCGCCGCTTATCCCGGGGCGGTCGCGGGGGCAGCAGCTTTAGTAGGGAAACCCAGACTTCCCTCTCCCCAGCCACTTCTTCTAGCCCTTCCCGGCGGATCCTGAGACGTTCCCAGGCCAGCCTGGTGACAGTCTCTCCAGCGTGTCCTGGGTCATCCCCGGGGTCTCCTGCCAGTGGGACATGCCCGGAACACCTCAACAGGGAGGCGTCCAGGAGGCATCCTAATCAGATGCCCGAGTCACCTCATCTGGCTCCTCTCGACCCTTTTCCAATTGAGGACCATTGTTTCAGATTTGGAGGTGCTGATCCTCATCCCAACCCCTTCACACTCGGCTGCGAAACGCTCCAGTGAGAGTTGGAGAGCCCTGCTCGAAGGAGCCAACAGTACCACATCATCTGCAAAAAGTAGAGATGCAATACTGAGGCCACCAAAACGGACCCCCTCAACGTTTCGGCTGCGCCTAGAAATTCTGTCCATAAAAGTTATGAACAGAATCGGCGACAAAGGGAAGCCTTGGCGGAGTCCTACCTTCACTGGAAACGATTCCGACTTCCTGCCGGCAATGCAAACCAAACTCTGACATCGGTGGTATAGGGACCAAACAGCCCGTATCAGGGGTTCGGTACCCCATACCCACGAAGCACCCCGTACAGAACTCCCCGAGGGACACGGTCAGACGCCTTTTCCAAGTCCACAAAACACATGTAGACTGGTTGGGTGTAGAGCTGGTCCACTGTTCCACGGCCGGGACGAAAACCACACTGCTCCTCCTCAATCTGAGGCTCGACTTCCCGACGGACCCGCCTCTCCAGCACCCCTGAATAGATCTGACCAGGGAGGCTGAGGACTGTGATCCCTCTATAGTCGGAACACACCCTCTGGTCCCCCTTTTTAAAAAGAAGGACCACTACCCCGGTCTGCCAATCCAGAGGCACTCTACCCGGTGACCACGCGATGCTGCAGAGGCGTGTCAACCAGGACAGCACCACAACATCCAAAGCCTTGAAGAACTCCGGGCGGATCTCATCCACCCCTGGGGCCTTGCCACCGAAGAGCTTTTTAACCACATCAGTGACTTCAACCACAGAGATAGGAGAGCCCACCTCAGAGTCCCCAGACTCTGCTTCCTCCAAGGAAGGCGTGTTGGTGGTGTTGAGGAGGTCGTCTTCGAGGTACTCTGCCCACAAGCTCACAATGTCCCGAGTCGAAGTCAGCAGCGCCCCATCCCCACTGTACACAGTATTAGTGGTGCACTGCTTCCCCCTCCTGAGATGTCGGATGGTGGACCAGAATTTCCTCGAAGCCATCCGGAAGTCGGCTTCCATGGCCTCACCAAACTCTTCCCACGCCCGAGTTTTTTTCTCAACTCAACTGTATTTATAGAGCACTTTCAAACAGGCATCGCTGCATCCAAAGTGCTGTACATGGAGCAACTAACATATACAACAGTAAAGCAATAAATCAGGAACAAATATGGTAGAAAGCACCCACAGTAAAACTAAGATCAGATCTGAGTCATGCTGAGTCAAATGCCAAAGAATACAAAGTGAGTTTTGAGGCGGGTTTTAAAGATGGGCAGCGAGGGGGTTGCCGAATGTTCAGTGGGAGGTCATTCCAGAGAGAGGGACCAGCAACGGAAAAGGCTCGATCCCCTCTGAGCCTCCATTTAGTTCTTGGTACTTCTAATAATGTCTGGTCTACAGACCTGAGGCGCCGGGCAGGTGTGTAGGGGCGGATGAGCTCAGAGAGGTACGGCGGCGCGAGGTCATTAAAAGATTTGAAAACAAACAATAGGATCTTGAAAAGAACTCTAAAATGTATAGGGAGCCAGTGAAGGGATGCCAGAGTAGGGGTTATGTGCTCCCTCTTTCGAGTACCAGTCAAGAGGCGAGCAGCAGCATTCTGGACCAGCTGGAGACGCTTAATGGAGGATTGGCTGACTCCAAAGTAAAGTGCATTGCAGTCATCAAGCCGGGATGTGACGAAGGCATTAATTTCTGTCTCAAGGTGCTCATGAGAAAGGAGAGGTTTTACTTTAGCCAGCTGTCTAAGATGAAAGAAGCTGGATTTAACAGCGGCACCAATTTGCCAGTCTAGTTTAAAATCACTGCAGTTTAAGACCCAAGTTTGAGACTGTTGACTTAAGATAAATAGACAGGGGGCCCAAGTCTACAGGATAGGATGTACAAGGGCCACTGGGACCAAACAGTATCACCTCTGTCTTCTTTTCATTGAAATTCAAGAAATTTTGTGCCATCCAGGTTTTGATTTCTTCCAGGCAGGATAAAAGTGGCCTTGATGAGAAAGCGTCTTTTTTGTTCAGTGGGGGTGTCCCACCAGCGAGTACGGGGGTTGCCGCCACGACTGGCACCAACCACCTTACGGCCACAAGTCAGATTGACTGCCTCAACAACAGAGGCGCGGAACATGGTCCCTTCGGACTCAACATCTCCCGGGACATGGGAAAAGCTCTGCCTCACAAACCAGCTCGGGCTCCTTCCCTGCAAGAGAGGTGACGTTCCACGTCCCTAGAGCTAGCTTCTGTAGCCGAGGATCGGACCGCCAGGGTCCCCGCCTTTGGCTGCCGCCCAGCTCACACTGCACCCAACCCCTATGGCCCCTTCCATGGGTGGTGAGCCCATGAGAAAGGGGACCAACGTTGCCTCTTCGGGCTGAGCCCGGTCGGGCTGTATTTCACATCAAAAAAAATTCCCTTATCATTACCCAAAGTAGATGTAAGAGGGTGGCAATTGGAAGGGAAAAGAAATAATTTTTAAAGGGTTAACGTGAAAAGGTGTGGCCTTTGCCACCCATATCTTGCAACCACAAGTACGACTGCCTAATGTACTCGAAAATTGACACTGGGCACGGAATTGCCAGTGTTGCCAAAATACGTCTGTCTTCCACAGTTTTGAAGAAAGTTTTCTGCACACTGTATTTGCAGGACTTACCAAACTAACTGTCACAGAAATAAAGAAGGACTTTAAGAGTGGCTCTTATTACAGCCACATCTACCATTTGCAAGTCAATATTCTGCCTATAGGGAAATACTATCAAAGTGACAAGAAAAAAAACTGTTGTGTTGACATTATTTGTGTTCATTAAAAAACCACAAACAAAGGTTCACGGTTAAAACGTGGGACTGGTTAATGGGTCCCAATGGAGTTCCATTCCTGGGCAATCCTGGTTGCTTCTCAAGCCCCGAATTTGCACATAGGAACACAATGATAAATGGATTGTTTGCGCTGTTCTTGGAATAACTACATATTTTGATGCATAACTTATGGCTCATATTTGGCTGTTTTGTTCGAGATACAGTTCGGCAGCCGCGGTTCGCCAAACCGGATAAACAACGAATATAACGTCATGGCGCTCTGTACAAAGACCCCCAATGAGGGTCATGTTTAAGTTAAGGTACTCACGTCTAACAAAATGACATCCACGAATTTTTGAGAGCTATCATATCAAAGAACATTCTGTAGGGTTTTTTTTCTTGCGAAGGCTAAAGGCTTCTATACTCACCACATTGAACGGCAGAATCCCGCATCGTCAAAAGGCTACTTTGACCGGAGTCACTGATCGCAAAGGTTCTCGCTTCCGCCTTTTGTCTGCATGTAGTTTTGAGGGCCTCGTTCTCCGCCTTTAGCTTCGATATTTCTGTCTTTAATTCGTCAACCACCGTTTCAAAAAGTTTGGTTGTTTCCGCGATCGTACTTTTCACCAGAACCTCCATAAAGGAGGCGTACTTCGTCTGAAAATGGTCCGTTGACATGGTAGTGCGCTGTCCTTTAGCCTGAGTTCGGAAAATGTCTCCACTTGGAACAGTTGGCTCCGTCGAAATGCGGCGTGCGAGATGACCGACTTGAAAATGGCGACCAGTCACGGAGAGTGTTACGTCACATTCGCTCCTTGTCTTTGTTTATTGGCAAGTAGGTCGCGACTACCGCCACCTACTGTGCTGGAGTATGGTCGCCATTGCCTGTTGACGCGGAACGTTTCCGAAATGACATTAGCTGCCTACTTCCGAAAATTAGACTTTCGGCTCAACCTGAAATATCAGGATTGGGAGGGTAGTTCTAAAAATGTCCTCCCAAACAGTTACTAGTTACCTGTTTTCAATTCAATTCCAAATTACAGAAGCCAAACACGCTAGCTAGCGAGCTAGCTAGATGGATAGATACGTCGATAGATAGAAGTCAATTTGAAACAATTTCTTAATTCTTCTCTTGCTTTTCAGCAATTTTCTCTTATGCTTACCCCAAAAAGAAGACAAGGTTCTGTACCCACATTCATCATTATGATGATAAATAGTGTCATTTGTCTATAAAAATGTCATAGTGACACTTTAGAATAACTCTGTATCATTATTAACATTAAAGATAACAAAGGAAAGATCAACTTACATCTTTATTAACGTTGCTTCTGAATCTCTCTCTGCCTTTTCTTTTCATCACTGTTAAATGTTTTCCCATGGTGTATCTGAATTGCTTGGTCACTGCACTTTATCAAGTATCAAGTTCAACTTTATTGTCAAATGTGCTGTATAACATACAGCACAGATGAAATTTCCTCCCTCTTAAACAGACAACAGACAACCCGACAGGATCCTGCTCTGTTCTGTGTGCACGTTCGACAATGAGAGCATCACTGCCACCTACTGTGGTGGCTGTGCAATTACACTTTATTCTAGGACGACAAAAAAAAAGTTCCCTGGGTTCACACGCACTGCCTCTAGCATCACATCAGGCCACACCGAGGGGTCGGTGTCGGCCCCAATGTTTGAGAAGGATTGCCTTGCAGGGAAGTTGTTTTGTGTGATGATTAGAAGAGTAAAGATTGTAGTTTGACAAACCAAATGGCAGGTAAGGAGAACGCTTTTCTCACGTTTGAACATGAGTCCCTTTATTTCAACGGTGACACAATTAGCCACCCAAACAACACTAGTAGAAACATTTTCACAAAACCAAAAACAGTGGGTACAATGCGGCATTTTATGAATAAAAAATAATAATTCAGAGCATGAACTGAATTGGTCGTTTACCACGTTCATTTGTTGACCGAGGATCCGCTTTATAGGGACTGCGGGGTAGCACGAGTCAATGATTCCCAATTCCAACATAGCCTCCGTTTCTTCCGCAGCTTTATTGACTGCTGCTCTTCCCACCGGTGCGCTTTTCTCTTTCTTCTGCATGTCTTCTTGTGTGCATTCTTAAAGCTGAGCTTCGAGAGAATCTTCTGTCACAAACTAAGCAGGAATAGGGCTTCTCCCCAGTGTGCGTTTTCATGTGTTGAGTCAAATTTGACCGCGCACTGAAACTGGAGTTGCAAACTGCGCAGGTGCAAGGTTTCTCCCCAGTGTGCGTCCTTATGTGCATTGTTAAACTTGCCTTTTTGGAGAATCTTTTACCACAAACGGAGCAGGCAAAAGACTTTTCTCTTGTGTGTGTTCTCATGTGTATAAGTAACTCTCCTCTGCCAACATATGTTTTGCCACAAATTGAGCAGGCAAAAGGTTTTTCCCCATTGTGCCTTCTTGTGTGTGTTGATAAATTTGCCTTCAAAGAGAAACTTTCCCCGCAAACTGAGCAGGTAAAAGGTTTTTCTCCCGTGTGTGTTCTTGTGTGTATGTTTAAATCGCCATTTTGGCTGAATGTTTTTCCACAAACTGCGCATACAAACGGTTTCTCCCCGGTGTGTGTCCTGAGGTGCGTCGCTAAACCGGTCTTCAAAAAGAATCTTTTGCCACAAACTAAGCAAGCAAAGGGTTTTTCTCCATTGTGTCTGCTTCTTGTGTGAGTTGTTAAGTTTGCCTTTAAGGAGAACCTTTTACCACAAAGGAAGCAGGCGAAAGGTTTTTCTCCAGTGTGCGTTCTCGTGTGCCTTGTCAAGCCACTCTTCAAAAAGAATCTCTTAGTGCAAACTAAGCAAGAAAAACTCTTTTCCCCATTGTGCCTGCTCCTTGTGTGCGTAGTTAAACCTGCCTTTAATGAGAACCTTTCGCCACAAACTGAGCAGACAAAAGGTTTCTCCCCAGTGTGTGTTTTGGTGTGTCTCGTCAATGAGAACTTGTTGGAAAACATTTTGCCGCAGTCGGAACATTTGAGGAATTTCTTCTCTGTGTGTTGAGTCATTCCACCTTTCGAGTGTCCCTCATCTTTACAAGGGTGCGCCATGACGTCGTCACCTTCTGTTGGTGAAGCTAAGAGGCCATTTGATTGCGGTCCTTCACGCTGGATTCCATCACCTCCTTCACTCTTCACAGTAACACCAGTCAATGGAAATTCTGTGATTTCATCCTCCTGCTCTTCTTCTTTAACGTGGCGGCCCTCTGGCATGCCTTCCGCTCTCCCGTGAGATAGATTCGGCAACTCCTCTTTGATTTGGGGGCACCACTGCTGCTCAAGACATTTACTGACGTCTGCAAAACAAGGCAAACACACATGGTTTGGTTAATTTCAGCTTTTCTCATGTTGCGACTATGTCGTCGCGTATCATCTTTTCAGGATAAGCAATGTTTAGGATATCCTTCCCTGATCCTCAGATAATTGGGTGTTGCAGCAGTTAGCAGTTCTACAAGAGGGATACTATTGCTCGTGCTCATCTGTCAATGACACAGGGAGAATGTTGCAGATGGCAATTGTGGGTGGAGGAGAAAGACGCTAAGCCAACAACAAGCGAATCCGCAGAAAGAGAACGCTGTGACAATCTCTCAACACACTGACAATCCATACATGTGACCGCTCCGAAAGAGACCGCCGCTCACACGTCGCACAGGCAATGATGTTCCAGGACAGCAAACGCCTGTAATCAATTCCGTGGTTATCAGTGACCCAACTGGAAAGATATTTTTTTTCAGAATAGATTATTCCATCGATTATTTCACTGATTAGTCAAATGATGGAATTTAAAAAATTGATTTTGCATTAAAATGTTTTTGCAAATTCTTCCCCCTCACCCACCATGAGTGCTTTTTACTAAAAAAATATTGCTGGTTATTGGACATTGTCTAATGATTAAACAAACTCTACAAGGGAGGCAGGGAAGTTTGACACTTTGAATTTACTTTGGAATTTGTTGCCATTTTTTGGCATTCTATAGAACATTTGTCAATTAATTTGACGATTAAGTGTTGATGATTCGATTAACTTTTACATGTCTACATACAGTGTAGTACGTATTTTATTAAATGTGGACAAATATATATTTGTGTCTATGTATGTCGTTGATTGCGACTGAAAACAAATATTCGAAGAAAGTACTTGCACATGTGACTTACTCCCTGTACCTCTACAAAGTACTGACGAAACAAGTGAAAATGAGAGCACCAACCTGCTCCGTCTAAGACAGGATGAGTCCCCTTCAAAACAGTGTCCCAGCTTTGTCTATCGATTTCTTTTTACAGATTAAATTCCTCCTCGTACGCTTCTTTTTTCACTAGCTTTGCGCACATTTTCATACGACAATAACAACACGTTCTGCTGAGCGACTTGTGCACAAGGGCTGCGTTTTGTTTGCAGCGAGCATCTTAGCTAAAATAAGCTAGTCTAGGCCGCGAAGCTCTAACGCGCAACAAAATTACTTTGCGCGGGCACAGATATCGAAATAATGACGTTTTAGTCCAGTAAAGTAGTGATGGACTTCACGTGTCGACCCCACAGTACGTTCGGTACTAATTCTGGAAAATTATTAGTGAAGCTTATGTGACGTCGTAAAGACCTGTATGCGGAAGGGTGTCTCAATAGAAAGTAGTACGGCAAACTTACTCGGACAAATTACGGGCCAGGGCCGCTCACCTGTTAATATATAATTAAATCTTACATTACTTATAAACGCTAAAATTAGTCAATCGGTCAGCGAGCATACTGTGTGGGGGTAAAGTGTTGTGATTATCGTGGGAAAATGTGCGTCAACTGTGCTAAAGAAGTGAACAAACCTGCTCCTTGGAACACAACTTGAGCCCTCAAAACAACATCCAGTAGCTGTTTCCCGTCATCCTCTTTTGTTCGACAAAGTTTCTCCTCGTACTCTTCTGCCGCTCTATCACACGTTTTCACACGGTAAACACTTTCAACTCAAGCTCGGAATTCTGCCGAGCGATGTATTATTGTGTTGGGTTTGCAACTAGCGCCCTAAACTAAGATAGCTCCAGAAGCTTTAAGAAACGCTGAGAGGAGTACATCCGGACACGAAGTTTGGACACATCGTGTTGTTGTCCAGTTCGATAAAAATTGACGGACTGCATCGACGCATCGCTACACTCAGTACGAACGCAGAAAAAATGATTCGGCGTAGCTTGGGTGTTTGCGTCAACCGTAAGCAAGATGCGGAAGTGTACCGGCACAAAAATCAGTGAGTACGCGCCGCCATGGCCGTCCTTTTCCCCCTTCGATTACAAACGCACATTACGGTTCAGGAGGGGGCGGCAACGTTCGTTAAACGTTATCTTTGGGAGCCGACCTTATATCCAATGCGTTTCTTTATAGCGTATATTTTGGGCGTGCCACACTTGCTACAGCAAAAGTAAAGACAGAAGCAATGTGTTTTTTTGTACATGTAGTTGCGTTGGGATTGTGGCTTCGTATTCCTGTTCGTGAATGTGGCACAAAGTTTGACCCAAAGGCCTCGCCGTACTGTTTCCGCTGCAGCTCTACTTCCGTTTACGTACTCCTTTAACCACGCGCGTTTCATGAAATAAGTCTTCCCGCATGACTACTTAAAGCACTAAAGCCTCGGCAGAGTACGTTCATCTGTCCTAAAGCGTTATTCAATAAGTATTCGTGCCCGGATACACTCGTCTCAGTCCACATTGAGGCTTTTTGGGCGCGTTTGGCTGAGCACAGTTTGTTAAACTGCGAACAAATACAATAGATTGGTTCTTTATCATCACGTCGCTAAGCAGAAATCAAGTGTGACCTTCAAGTGTGAGTTTCGCGCAAAAATGAGTGCAAAAAGGGTGAAAGAAGAGTACGAAGAGGAACTTTGTGTAGCAGACAAACGACAACGTCAGTTACTTTAAGGGACCCAAATAAAACTTAAGAACATTGAAAATGTTGAAATGGGATCACAATTTCAAGGTTTTTAACAGCTTTCTTATTTTTACAGGCAGATATAGAACGAGAACATACAGCCAACTCTTTCAACAACACACAAAGATGGGTTTTGTCTTTGAAGATTTACATTTGTGAATTTAAAGGTTTGTAAGAAACATGATCAGATTAATTAAATTTTAATTTTATGGATAACACTAGAAGGAATAGCATCAAAACCCACAGCAAACTGTTTAGGCGTTGCATGTATTTGAAAGCGCTCAAGGAATTCCTGATCAGTAACACTGCGCAAGCATTGAACAATTGGCTCAACCAATTAATATGATAAACCATTCCTGAAAAAAATATGGATTTGTTCTTGTAAAGTATATCCCTGTTATTCCAAATAGAATAATGGTGTGGTGAAAAGTTGTTCTTGTAAAGTACTGGCAAAGCAAGTAATGCCGATTTATGGAATTTGACAGTCAAACAGGGAATTTTTTCCCGATGTTATAATTTAACATCGAATAATAACTTTAGTCCACCAGTCTGAGAGAAAATATAATTCGTAACGCAATTCCAAATGGAATCTCGATTATTAAAAATATCTAATCCAGTTAATCTTGAAAATTGTTCAGAAATTGTAAATTTCCCCAGTGTGGGACAAATAAAGGATATCTCATCTCATCTCATCTCAGAAACATTCCGTCTGCGGTTCGAGGACGATTCCGTGACGTCATTTGATGTGAGCCAATCACACCTGGAGACGCAATAAAATCACTTCCTGGATGTCGCGATTTTTCCTCCGAAACCTTTGCAGCCTCTTCCCGATGACTACACGCTGTTAATTATCATTCCTGTAAACCAGGAAGAACGACTCGACACATTACGACCCATCACCACTTTACTAGACTCAAAGATCACTGATGGATTGTTTGTGTCTGGGTAAATTCGTTTCGCTGCGTGTAAAAGCTTCTTCAGGTTTTTTTTTAGCTTAGCTTGTTAGCCGCTAACAAAGAGGTGTTTGTTTTCCACACGTCGCTAAGTAGTGTAAAGTGTTGTGAATATCGTGTGAAAATGTGTGCAAAAAGTGCAAAAGACGAATACAGAGAGGAACTTTCTGGGATAAAAGAGAAGAACGAGCGACGTCATCTACTGGACGCTGTTTTCAAGAATCCTCAAATTTTATTACACAAAGCAGGTTTGTTCACTTCCTCGTCTCACTTGTTTAGTTCCTATTTTATATATTTAAACATTTTCATATAACTTCGATCGAAGTAAAGCCTCATTTGTGTATTGAATTATATCACAGGGGGTGACTCCCAACACGGCGGCTGTGTTCGGAATCTGTCATTCGTTTATACACTCGGGTTTTTTTTTCATTCATTCATTTTCCAAGCCGCTTATCCTCATATAGGTCATCTCAAAATCGGGACAGTCTAACGCTTAACACCACATGACATTATGTCCAAAAATTGGGATTAAACATTAGCAAAATATGTGTGAACATCTGTACTAATGGCCACTTCCACTATCTGAAAATAGTAAAATGAGAGCCAGTATTACGGATACTTTTCAAGTTAATCTTATTGTTTTTTTGTTTTTTTTCTTGAAGCGCTTTAGACTGTCCTCATCAAATCTCTGTATACTGAGTACAGAGAAGGGTATGAGATAATCATTCTGAAAATTACGGGTAATTTATGTTTTCACACTCGCTTGGGTCACAGGTGCCATCAACTTTCAGAGTTAAAATATGTCAGCTGCCTCATCTGCCACAGCCTCAGTTAGGATGCATCCCATGATGCAAAGGAGTTCCCAAACTCAATTGACATTTGCAGCTTTTTGGGGTCAGTGGGTTGGAGGGCGGGGCGTTCTCTTGTATATTTGCGATGAATCACTGACATAAATTTATAACTCAATTTACATTTACTGTGACCATGTTAACATCCTGAATCTGTACAATACTGTAGTTATGATGATGTGCCCTCGTGATTAGGTGGAGCCTTGAGAATCCAGGTGGATGACCTTGGATTTTTCCCATTGCTTGTGATGGTGTTTGTCATCCGGACAACTGAGGATTTTTTTTGTTTGTGCTTACAGTCACAGAGCTGCTCTACTTGACCCTTATCATTGTAAATGTTCCTGATAAACATTGCCGAAAACATCGATGAATGATACACAACACTGAGGTCATCACATGAGACTTGACAGAGCAAAGTTTGAGGTTAATTTGTGTTTTCTTGTGTCCTGCAGACGCCACTGAAGGAGCTCTTCATCTTGATGTGAAAGAAGAGGAGGAGGAGGCTGAGATCACCAAGTTTCCATTGACTGTCATTGTGAAGAGTGAAGATGATGATTATGACGAAGAAGGTGACGGAGACAACTGTGAAGGTCCACAAGCAGACAGCCTCTTAGCTCCACTATCAGAAATTGACGACATGACATCACACTCCCCTGACACTGATGATGATGATGACGATGATGATGATGATGAAGATTCTCAAGGTGATAAGACATGTCACACGGACAAGAAGCATGTGAAATGCATACAGTGTGGGAAAACCTTTAGTTCAAAGTGGAATTTGAAGGTTCACCTGAGGAGTCACCAAGGAGAGAAACCTTTCACCTGTTCCGATTGCGGTAAAAGATTTACGAATAAGGGAAATTTGAACGTGCACACAAGAATACACAACGGGGAAAAACCCTTTTCCTGCTCAGTGTGTGGTCTCAGAGTAACTCAAAAGAGTGGTTTAACCACTCATATGAGAATACACACTGGAGAGAAACCTTTTACCTGCTCGGTGTGCGGGAAAAGCTTCTCCATCAAGGGTCATTTAAGAAGGCACACCAGGACACACACTGGAGAGAGGCCCTTTGCGTGCTTGGTTTGTGGCAAAAGGTTCTCTATCAAGGGGCATTTAAGAACGCACACCAGCATACACACGGGTGAAAAACCTTTTGCCTGCTCCATCTGCACCTTTAGTTTCAGTGAGCGCTCAAAATTGGCCAAACACATGAGAACACACTCTGGAGAAAAACCCTTTTCCTGCTTAGTTTGTGGGAAGAGATTCTCCGCTAAGACGAGTTTAGTAAGACACGCAAGACTCCACAGTGGAGGCAACCCCGTCGCCTGCTCAGTGTGCAACTTAAGTTTCAGCGATCGGTCTGGATTGACTGAGCACAAGAGAACGCACACTGGAGAGAAGCACTTTTGCTGCTCGGTGTGTGGTAAAAGATTCACTCAAAGAGTGCACTTGACATCCCACACAAGAATACACACTGGCGAGAAGCCGTTCGGTTGCAGTGTGTGTGAGAGAACGTTCTCTCGTAAGGATCAGGTTAAGAGACACAAGTGTGCTGGTGAGAAGAGCAGTGGCCAGTGAAGCTTGGGAGAAACTGTGATGAAACAAAGTGGACAGGTTATCCCGAATAAAATGCAAGATTAATTTTTGTGAAGTCATTTGTGAGATTGTTGTGTCTTTTTACTGCTGACAAACATTCCTCACAGGCGTAAATGAATGTCACTTTCCGTCTTTTAGTGTGTCCACTCACTCGCTTGATCTGTAATCTTCAATAGTAATACAATTTTGGAGGCTGCATCCATCCATAATCTGAACCGCTTATTCTCACGAGGGTCAGGGGCGGGTTGGAGCCTCTCCCAGCCGTCTTCGGGCAGTAGGCGGGGTACGCCCTGAACTAGTTCCCAGCCAATCGCATCACACACGTCGACAAAACAATCATTTGCACTCGCCATCACACACAAGGACAATTCAGAGTGTTCCAGGAGCCCGGAGTTCCGGGGAAAACCCACACAGGAACGTCGAGAACATACAAACTCTGAACACAGTAGACCAAAGTTGAAATGACACCTCCACACCTGCAGGATGCGCTGTTGACTTAAAACTGCCTTGTCTTTTTTGGGGGAGAGTGGAGGAGGGTGTGTCATCACAACAGTTTTTTTCTTTCTTAATTCGGTTTAACTGAAACTGTTTTCATCCTGCGAATAAAAGCTTTTGGCCATCACCATGCACTATTTCTCAGCTACTTTATCTCGCCGCTTTTGCCAATATTGGTGGTAGAATGCAGTTTGATCAAATGGATCTGCCGTACTACTTCCGCCTCAGCTTTGCTTCGGTTTGAGTAACCTAACCAAACGAGCTTGACGGAATAAATCTTCCTAAATAAGTACTGAACGTAGCAAAGCCTTGACACGGTACGTCCCATCACGACCTCTCCGGACTAAGGATCAGTTATCAGATCTTCATGTCCGAGAAAACTCGTTTGGGGGGCGGTTGGAAATTCCCGAGTTTGCTTAGTTTACGGCCTAGCTTGATAGCCGCTAACAAAGACACGCGTTTGCAATCAACGCATCGCGGAGCAGAGTTCAAGTGGGAGTGTCAAGTGTTGTGCTTGTCGTGTGACAATGTGTGCAAAACGCGTGAAAGAAGAGTACGAGGAGGAACCTTGTCGACCAGAAGAGGAGATCGAGCCACAGCGTCAAAGGGACGCCGGGTTCAGCGAGCCTCCAGACTTGTTGCACACCGCGGGTTTGTTCACCGCTTACTTTGCATTTTCAACAATTGTCTTTTTTTCTTCATTTTATCTGGAACGTCGTCTGGTTGTGATAAGAATCGCTGACGTACGTTTAATAGAGTTATTTACATTAAGTATTTAAATAAAACATGGTTCCACTCTGTACTTTGGAGCTCCGATGGTGTGCCCTCGTGATTATTGTGGACGCCTGATAATCCAGTTTGATGTCACGACACGATGAATGACGCTTACACTGTTTATCATCCTGAAAATTGCTTGCGTTGCACTTTGATCGACCGAATTGCTGAAATAGCTTTAAACGGAACTTCGAGTGTGATTCGCGGACATCGAAAGCTTGACTTGACAAAATCACCTCTCCGGCAGTTTAGACTACAACGGCGTGCTCACTGGCCTCTCTAAATTGTCTTGCCATGTGCGTTTGTCTTCTCGTGACCCGCAGACGTCAATGAAGGAGAGCTTCGTTTAGAGCAACAGGAGTGGCGCTCCAGGGTGGAGCTGCGGGAGCCGCAGCCTCCCCAGGTCAAAGTGGAAAAGGAGGAGTCTGATATCACCGAGTTGCCATCCACTTGCGTCATTGTGAAGATTGAAGATGAGGACGGAAAAGAGCGCGATGAAGACCAATGTGGGGTATCTCCAGGAGACAGCCTCTTCGCTCCACTATCAGATAGTGACGACACAACGTCACACTCTTCTGACACCGATGTGACATGTCACGCTGACATACAATGGGTGACATGTTCTCAGTGCGACAAAACCTTTTCCAAGAAATCGTCACTAAAAAGACACACGAGAACGCACGATGGAGATAATCAATTAAATTCTTCAGACGATGGTAAAAGATTTGCTCAGAAGGCAGAGGGTAAGCCTTTTGCCTGCTCAGTCTGCCGCTTAAGTTTCCGAAGGCGTTGCAATTTAATTACACACGCAAGAACGCACACCGGAGAGAAACCTTTTGCCTGTCTCGTTTGTGCAAAAAGATTTGCACGCAAGGGACCCTTGAGCGTTCACATGCGAACGCACACTGGCGAGAAACCTTTTGCATGCTCACTATGCAGTAAAAGATTTGCTCGTAAGGCACATTTGAACATACACACAAGAACGCACACAGGAGAGAAACCTTTTGCTTGTTCGGTCTGCAACTTACATTTCAGTGAACGTTCAGGATTGGTGCTGCACACGAGAACGCACACTGGGGAGAAGCCCTATTCCTGTTCAGTTTGTGGCAAAAGATTCGCCCAAAGTCGCAATTTGACAACACACAGAAGAACGCACACTGGGGAGAAGCCATTCCGCTGCAGTGTGTGTGATGAACAGTTCTCTTATAAGTACCAGATGAACAAACATAAGTGTGCCGGTCGGACAAGCAGCAATCAGTAAAGCTGCAGCACTTTCAGTAAAACTGAAGAAAGACTAAAAGGAGCGAGCTCAGAAAGTTTTGAGTTTTTATGGTGAAATGGAAAAGTATGTGGTGACCCCCCCCCCTCCGCCCCCCGGCTCGCTCTCCGTTCAGCGTTCATCTATTCATGTGAGTTTTTATGGTGAAATGGAAAAGTATGTGGTGAGCCCCCTGCCCCCGGCTCGCTCTCCGTTCAGCGTTCGTCTGTTCATATATTTAAAAAATGCAGCCTATCCTCTGTTATTATTTTGAATTCACCCATTTGCTGTTTTGGGCTTAGGCCAAAGCAACGAAAACGTTCCTTCGGGCCATGTATTCGCCTACCAAAAGGAGGGACTTCATTCAAGCAACAGTATTACTTTGCTGCCATCTTGTGGCACTTGTTGGCAGTTAGATTTGTTGAAAGGTGTGGAAATTACTCCAACGGTTCACTGGGTTATGCGATTCTGAATAAAATACAAGTTCATCAAGCGTCTATGATTTGTGTTTCTTTTCAACTGAGATTCAACACTCGTTGTTTGTTTCATTTTAAACCACTCCCTTTGGGTTCCATCCGAAGGGAAACATGGTATTTCCTTCCACTGATCGACGCTTTCTCATTCAGGCCACTTTCATCCTGGCTGGAGGAAATCAAGACCTGGATGGCACCAAATCTCTTGAATTTCAATGAAAAGAAGACAGAAGTGATGGTGTTTGGTCCCAGTGGTGTCGACTTGGGCCCCCTGGCTCCCAATCTTAAACCATTGTTAAATCCAGCGCCTTTCATTTTAGGAAGCTGGCTAAAGTAAAGCCTCTCCTTTGAAACCGTAATTCATGCCGTCCTCCCATCTCGTCTGGATTACTGTCATGTACCTTATATTTATACATACTGCACCATTATGTTCTACTTCTTAAACCCATTGAAAACATTTGAACACAAATGGCATACAATGTACGGAAACACATGTGGTAGTGTCTATGTACATGCACATCCCTGCATAAGAGGCACAGCACACTTGCATCAAGTAATTGAGTCGTCACTCCCAGTTGAAGTTTATTGTGAAACTGACACATGAGAGTTAACATTGTATATTTAAGCACCAAAATGCTCAACCAAACTAGTCTCACAACGTCCGCCTGTCTAATGTTAACATACAATGGCAACAGAAAATATAATATTGACGTTATGGTAATTACCAACCTTCACAAATGAATTTAATACACACAGAGCAGTATCACATTAAAAAAAGATAAGACTGAAACACCGTATACACCAACATCTTCAGCGAAACCACAGAGAACATGACTTTGAGGCACGTCCAGTCTCTTTTGCCTGCGCTTCTTTGTCACAAGTACACTGCATTTCCGTCCAATATAGGTCAGGGCTGTCCCGCATGTTTTGGCACAAACCACTACTGATCTGAAGGAAAGACACTCTCAATTCAGACTTGCCTGGACAATACACAGCACTGTAAAAACAAACCAAAAAATAAACAAACAAATGAAAAAGGATGGCGTCAAAATCTGTGGGCGTGAAAGGTGAGTCACAATGTAGTTGAGGGCAGTCGCTCCTCTGAGAGGACGTGGACTTCAGAGCCGCATCAGCATGCCTGTGAGTCCCAATGCGGGCAAAAAAAAAAACAAACAAACATCTAAAAATACAACTGGCTGCTGGACAGATGGACAGATGGTAGACTGTGTCCTTTCTTTGCCGGGCTCAAGAGGTGGAGCACTTGTGCACACCTTTCACGGCTCCATCTCGCCTTGTATGGTTGAAGGCATGGGCTGATTCTCCGTGTCGTGTGCAACACCAAACATCCAGAAGAGTCCAAGTTGAATTGACCTTGCGCGATGAAAATGAGTATAGGTAATATTTTTGGGTGACAAACCATTGAAGGAGGGTTCTTTTGTCTCATTTCTCTTCTGTTAACCGGACCATAATCTTGTCAATATTGTTCAAACAATACCATTACTGATGGCACTCAATTAAAACAAAGATGAAAATTCGATATTTTGTGATGAATTCATCACTTCTCATCAGCGCACACGTGTTTGTTCCTCTCCGACTCGCTCGAGAAATGTTCTTCACACATGTTGCAACGAAATGCTTTCTCACCAGCATGTGTTCTTCTGTGTCTGACCAAATTGACATGGAGAGAGAAACTTTTACCACACACTGAGCAGGAGTAAGGTTTTTCCCCAGTGTGCGTTCTCATGTGTGGGACTAATGACGAACGTTGACTGAAACTTAAGTTGCAGAATGAACAGGCAAAAGGTTTCTCTCCGGTGTGTGTTCTAATGTGCGATCTTAAATGTCCTTTCTGAGTGAAGCCTTTGCCACAAATGGAACAGGCAAAAGGTCTCTCTCCAGTGTGTATTCTTGTGTGTATTCTTAAATCTCCCTTTATCCGGAACCTTTTCCCACAAACGGAACACGCAAAAGGTTTTTCTCCGGTGTGTGTGGTAATGTGTCTTTTCAGTGAGGACTTGTTGAAAAAAGTATTGTCGCATTGAGAACATTTCACACGCTTGTTGTCAGTGTGACCTGTCCGATCACCTTTGGAGTGCTCATCGTCAGCATCAGTGCCAGAAGACTGTGACGTTATTTCGTCGCTTTCTGATAGTGGAGCTAACAGGCTCTCTGCCTGTGATCCTCCACGGCGGTTTCCAGCACCTTCGACTGCCACGCGTTGACTTGAGCTGCTGGTCGGAGGCTCAGCCTGTCTGGCCTCCTCACGCCGACCTGCGCCTTCATTTTCATTCTTCAAAGGGATGCCAGGAAATGGGAACTTGAAGATATCGGCCTCCTCCTCTTCCTCTTTCACGTGGAGCATCTCCGGATTCTCTTCTTCTTTAACAAGAAGTGCTGGCATATTTTCCTGTTTATCATGAGGAGACTCTGGCACTTGCAGTTCAGGATGAACATTTTCTTCACTGGCACCTACAGGAAACAAGAGGGCAAAAACACATGGCGTGTTAACATGCAGCTTTGCTCAGTCAAGATTGTCCTGATCCAATCCCATGCTCGGAAACCAGGGGCAGATCGCGTAAGGTAAAGTTTTCAGGTGAAAGAGAGCGAGAACGCTCTTGTCTGACAAGCTATCTTGCTCAGATGGGAGGTGAACCGTCTTCTACAACCTAAACCTGAACTATATTTTGTTCAGGTTTAACTTTTTTAATGAACTGTGTCAATTCAATTATAAACAAAGATTACACACTACAAAGAGAAAACTCGTACGTAGATCTGGGGATTTGTGTGACGTACCACAGTGCCCGGATGTTGGGCTTCAACGGTTTCATTGAGAAAAGAAATAAACAGTGGCATATTGTTACGAATAGAAAGTAGTTGCCATACATTTGAGAGTCGGAAGTGGACAAACCTGGTCTGTGCGGATCAGCGTGAGGCATAAAAACAGCGTCTAGTAGTCGCCGTTGTCGCTCGTTCTCCTCTTTGGTTCGACAAAGTTCCGCCTCGTACTCTGCTATCGTCCTTTCAAACACAGCAAATATTTCTTCCACCGCCGCACTGAGTCGGGCATTCAGCAACGCTCTGAGCATTTCCACTTTACACATTTTCGCAGTCAGTTACTATTTACATTCACACTTGATTTCTGCTTCGCGATGTTTCGTGAGCGAAAGCGTCGGTTTGCGGCTAGCAAGCTATGCTAAAATCAGCTAAACTCAATGGAGAAGGTTCAATGTGGATTGAGGCCACTCGAGGCAAGTTTATCCAGGTATGATTTTTTTACGATGTATTACTTAAGTGAAGTACCAATGTGCGTACTGCATCGAGGTTTCGGTATGTGCAGTACTAATTGGAGAAATAATTATTTTGTGAGGCGCGTTTAGTTCCATAAATTATGAGGAGAGCTGCAGAGGTATTTGTACGGCAAAGCCGTTTGGACAAACCAGTTTTAAATTGCCACTGTCCACAAAACATGACTGAAATGAAAAGATTTCAAAGGGAACACTTGGAACCAGGAAAACGTTACGAATTGCATTGAATTCTACAATACGCTCTGTACTTCTTTTTCTGATGTAACCCAAACGGGCCGACCCGAAAATACCAGAAGTACAGGTCGTTTAACATATGGCGGTGTTTGTTAAATGTGTGTATGTTTGGTGCTCTCTACCGTCTTTGTTATTGATTTGTTGCTTTACTGTTGTATCTGTTAGTTGCTCCATGTACAGCACTTTGTGTGCAGCGATGGCTGTTTGAAAGTGGTGTTGAGTTGAGTGTATTTTTTTCTCTTTTCAACAATTGACGACTCAAATGCTCTAAAGCTCAGTGGTTCTGAGGTAAGTGTAGAATATAACATAGGCATGCTGTCGCTCCCTTTCTCCCTCTGCCCCCCCCCCTTGTCACTATCCCCAGCTTTATTTCATAGTAATTAGATCTCCTGTAGAAATGTTAAACAACCCAGGACAAAACACCTTTTTTAAACACCCCAACTTTTCAAGTCAACAAAATATTTGAACATATTGCCGTATCGATTGATCGCTTAAACATTAGGTCATACATGTTTTGGGCTTTGAACCGATGAGACCAAGATGAACTTCTACCAATTGTGAAACATGCTGGAGTTCAGGTCAGGGCTCTGGCTAATGTGGTTTCTTCTTCTTCGCGCTTCATGGCGTTAGACCTTATTTTGTCCAAGTGATAATGCCGTACTACGGCCTCTGTAGAGTCACTTCCGTGTGTATTTTTTTTAACTTCCGTGTGTAGTTGAGGTAACCGCTTGTGATTCATAAAATCATTCATGGCAAACTATAACTGAACGCGCTGCAGCCTCTTCAATGCAGTACGCCCTTCGATACTTCCCTCGAGTAAAATACAATTTATTTCATCTTCGTGTGCGGATAAACTCGTTTTGATGGACGTTGAAGCTTCCCAGGCTGGTTTGGCTGAATTTAGCTTCGTAGCTGCTAAGAAAGGCGTGTTTCGGCACATCGCTAGGCAGAGATCAAGTGCTGCGATTATTCTGTGCAAAAAAATATGAAAGAAGAGTACAACGAGGATTTTTCTGGAACAAAAGAGGAGTCTGGGCGACAACGTGAACTTGTATGGAAAAAGCTTCAAGATGAGCTATACAGAACAGGTCTGTTTACGTTTTAGTCTGCTGTATTTCGTTACTTATTCCTTTTTGTAGCAGCTTTCCTGTGTAAATTTCATCATGGAATCTTCATTATTGTGAAGCAAATTCAAACAAACAGGCAAACGCCTGACTAAATAGTGATTGCCACACTGCTAGCCTGGATAAGACAATATTAAAACGTTTTTAGCACTGTCACTTTTTAAAACCAAAAGCGTGTATGAACAAGAATACATGACATCAAAGTCCCACCACGAAACTAGAATGCACTTGACCAGACTGCATGTTTTGTCTTCTTGTGTCCTGCAGATGTCAGTGAACAAGACCTTGTTGGTGAGCTGCAGAAGGCAGAGCCCCACGTCAAAGAGGAAGAGAGGTCTGAGACCTTTCACATCAAAGAGGAAGAGGAGGAGGCTGATATCACAAAGTTTCCATTGACGGTTGTCATTGTGAAGAGGGAAGATGATGAAGACCAAGGTCAGTGGTTTCTGCTTCATCCCATTCAAGACAGTTCTCAGACCATCCGTTCTCTGCGCCCCTCATCTTCACTGGGGCTGCACAACATTGGGAAAGCAAGCGCTAACTGATTCTATTGCGATATTTAACATGCCCCTAAAAATATGTATATTTTAATTGAAAAAAAAAATCTTGTGAATTCGACCAAGTGCGGAAAGTCCTTCACTGGCTCCCTCAACATTTTAGAGTCCTTTAAAGTCCAGTCTTGAAATGTCCTGGCCCCACCTTACCTCTCTGAGCTCCTCCGCCCCTACACACCTGCCGGGTGCCTCAGGTCTTAAAGTTTCCATTAATTGGTGTTGTTATGAAGATGATGAAGAGTGAAGATGATGAAGTCCAAGGTTAGTGGTTACTGCCCCATTCAAGTCTCAGTTTGGATTGTGTTTGCAAGCAGCCTCAAATGGCTACACCGAGTCTATAAATCTGACATTGCTTTTGAATTGCAGTTAAACCGAATGCTTAAAAAAAAAAAAAAAAATGAAACATGACTGGACGAAAATGGTGGTACTGTAACTGAGTACTCTTGGGTGTTTTTAGCAGGGTTTTGGGTCGTATTTCTGTTGCGAGACAGTGAAAGAAGCTTTGTGGCTTATCAACATGCAATTTGAAAGTTTTGTGTAACCAAATGGAATGTCTTCCTCTGTCCGGCAGAGGTGAGTGAAAAGCATCTTCCTCCTGAGCTAAAGCAGTTGCAGTCATCTCAGATTAAAGAGGAGGAGGACACATCCCCCCACTTGAGAGACGAGGAGGAGGACATGCAAGAGATTCTCCACATGAAAAAGGAAGTGGCGCTGACCGATATCACCAAGTTGCCATCGACTGGTTTCCCTCTGAAGAATGAAAATGAAGTTAAAGGACAAAATGATGAGACCAGAGGGCACAAGTCTCAAAACTGCAGCATGACAGCAGAAGGTGATGGTGACCACTGCGGGGAATCCCAAGCAGACGGTCTCTTAGCGCCACTATCGGACAGTGACGACATAACGTCGCACTCTTCTTACACTGATGATGATGATGATGATGAAGAACACTCGAAAAGTGAAATGGCATGTCCCACTGACAAAAAGCATTGGCAATGTTCTCAGTGTGGCAAAAGTTTGGGTTCAAAGTGGGGCTTGAAAGGACACATGAGGTTGCACACTGGGGAAAAACCTTTTTCCTGCTCACTCTGTGGTAAAACATTTGCTTTCAAGGAACAACTGGGGAGGCACACAGCATTGCACACTGGAGAAAAACCTTTTGCCTGCTCTGTCTGTGGTAAAAAATTCCCGACGAAGACAGAATCAAAAACGCACACAAAGATACACACAGGGGAACAACCTTTTCCCTGCTCGATTTGTGGAAAAAGATTCCCTACACGGGGAAATTTGACGAGACACACAAGATCGCACACTGGGCAGAAACCTTTTTCCTGCTCAGTTTGTAGTCAACGATTCACTGCAAAGACAAGTTTAATCAAGCACACAAGAATTCACACTGGGGAGAAACCTTTCGCCTGCTTGGTGTGTGATCAAAGATTCTCTACACAGGGAAATTTAAAAAGACACACGAGGACGCACACTGGGGAGAAACCTTTTGCCTGCTCAGTTTGTGATCAGAAATTCTCGACACAGGAAAATTTCAAAAGACACACAAGAACACACACTGGGGAAAAACGTTTTGCCTGTTCCGTTTGTGGTAAAAGGTTCCATGTCAAGGCTCACCTAAAATCCCACACAATGACCCACACGGAGGAGAAACCTTTTGTCTGCTCGGCTTGCGGTAAAAGATTCTCTAGAACAGAAAATTTAAGAGCACACGCCAGAACTCACACTGGGGAGAAAGCGTTTGCCTGCTTGGTTTGTGGTAAAAGAGTTTCTACAAGGGGGTGTTTGAACAGACACGTTACGACGCACACAGGAGGGAAGGCTTTTCCCTGTTCGGTATGTGGGAAAAGATTCTCTGTCGAGAGATATTTAAAAAAGCATACAAGAACACACACAGCAGAGAAATCTTTTACTGGTTCATTTGTACAACTTTAGTTTGTGACCAGACGAGCTTTGTCTTGAGCAGACGGATCCGACCCCCTGCATTAGTTTTTGAAATGTTGGTAGGCCATGTGGTTTTTGTCTGAATCAGGGGTGAATGGACGTTTTTCTTTCATCTATTTTTCTCGTGTTTCTATTTGCGAGTAAGGCGAGCAATTGTATTAAAAGGACTTAAAGTTGAGACATGGAGTAATGAAGACAGTACTGGAATTAGGGCCTCCAGTATTCGGGCCACTTGTGGTTTTAAGTTCAATAAATATTCGATTAAAAAGTAAAGAGTAAAACCTATCTCCGCTGTTTTCTGTGACTGGCCTCTCAGTCTCCCTCAAATATCTTTCTTTCTGTCTTTCTTCCTTCCTTTCTTTATTTCTCTTTTTCTTTTTTAACAGTGTGAGTGGACGTTCGTCTCGGTATTACAACTTTAAAATGCTAACAATGCAGAGTACAAAAATTATTTTGGTGACATTACAATAGCTTTTCATTTTGTTAAGTTGGGAACATGATATTTTCATGAATGGCGTTTTCTTTACTTATACAAGACCCCAGTGCTTGCGGCGTGCTTAAATGAATGTGAGAATGTGGTCTTACATCCAAGAACTCGCTTTCTTGCCAGTTGAAGAAGCAACTGGAGCGAAAGCGATGCCGCTTATTGAGCGGTGGTATGTAGTTTGTCCACGTTCCGTTGCCGTACTACTTTAGCCGCAGCTCTACTTTTTGTTAGTGGATCCAAACCAGACGTGCTTCGCGGAATAATATTTCCTGAATGACTACGAAAGGTACCGAAGTCAAAACATAGTACGAATTAATTGGAGTAACACATCCTTAATTAAATCTTCGTGTCAGGCTAAATTTGTCCCGGTGCCCGTCGAACCTGTTGGAGATGTTTTAGCTTGTTAGCTGCTAACAAAGAGCCGCGTTTGTGATCAAAAATACCGCTGAGTAGAAATCAAAGTGTTGTGATTATCTTGTGACCATGTGTGCAAAAAGTTTGGAAAACAAATTCGACGATGAATTCTGTCGACCTAAAGAGCAAAAGGAACGACAACGTCAACGATTGGACGCTGGTTTCAAGCAGCCTTGCGTTGTTTTACACAGAGCAGGTTGGTACACATTTTACTGCTTGTTTATTCTCTGCTTTCTTTTGCGATAATTGCTACTTAGCTTGCTTCTTAGAGAACCCAGTGTCGTTCAGGGCTACAATCGGGCGCTTTCATTTCAAATTTGTTTGCTTGGCCACTAACCATCATGTCTCTAATGGTACAAAAAACAAAACAAGTACAACGTCCTTCTTGCCAACAAATTATGACACACTACCTGTACTTGATAGGTGATCAAACTGTTTTGAACCATTTTCATTTTATAATATCAAAATCCATGTTTCACATTTCCTTAGTCACAAATGATGGCAATTTACCTTTGTGTTTTCAGAAAAAAAGAGCACGACGGAACTATATCCGTGCCGTCAATGTTTGAGTCCGAGTTACTGTTTTTTTTTTCAAATTTCCAACAGTGTTCCTTTCCCACATAAAAAATAGCATAGGCGATTCACCTTCCATCATTTAAAATTAAGTGTCCAATTCATCTTAAAATTAGACATTCAGGGTCACATTTTTAGCGTATTCTGCTGAAGCAAAAGCAAGCCCAGCAACTGTCGTCCGTTTTCCAATCCATGGACCCTATTACAGTGTGTTAGCATCACCTACTGGTTTGAGCCTGATACAGCAGCCAAGTGGTGACTTATTTTTATTTTATTTTTTCAAATACAGGTATTGGTTTTCCTAGTTTCCGTTTTTGGTGACATCTACCAATTCTAATTAGGAACCCGACTGCGGAGTGAGAGTCGTTTGTGCCTTATGGTGTGTTCATTTTACACTGAAAGTCTGAATTTGGAGTTGTTCTAAACGTACAACATCAGAGTCACAATTCTGAGATTTGTCAGAGCAAAGATTGACTTCACCAAGCGTGTGTGTTTATCTTCTTGTGTCATGCAGACATCAATGAGGAATATGTTGATCCTGAGCAGCAGGATCTAGAGAACTTTCACGCTGAAGAGGACAAGGAACCAGGAACCCACCACATTAAACATGAAGAGCAGGAGGCTGATATCACCAAGTTGCCATTGACTGTTGTCATTGTGAAGAGTGAAGACGATGAAGCGCACAGTCGGAAGTCACGGCTTCGTCCCCGTCAAAGTAAGAAGAAAAGAAAGGCGGAGCCTCCAAGCTGCAGCCCAAGTCAACTTACGACGACAGAAGGCGGTAGAGACCATTGTGGAGGATCACAAGAGGGCACCCCCTTAGCGCCACTATCAGATTGTGATGACTTGACATCGGGCTCTCCTGACTCTGACGATGATGAACGCTCGAAAGATGACAAGACATGTCACACTCACGAGAAACGCTGGAAATGTTCTCAGTGCGGGAAAGCGTTTGATGCAAAGTATAATTTGAAAGTACACATGAGGACACACACGGGTGAAAAACCGTTTGCCTGCTCAATTTGTGGTAAAAGCTTCTCTGTAAAGGGATATTTAAGAACACACACGAGAACACACACCGGAGAGAAACCTTATGCCTGCTCAGCTTGTGGGAAAAGTTTCCCCAGACTGGGACAGTTAAAAACACACACAAGAACCCACACTGGGGAGAAACCGTTTGCCTGCTCAGTTTGTGGTAAAAGCTTCTACATAAATGGAAGTTTAATCAGGCACACCAGAATACACACCGGTGAGAAACCGTTTGCCTGCTCAGTTTGCGGTAAAAGATTCTTACTTAAGACACATTTAAGAACACACACAAAAACCCACACAGAGGAAAAGCCTTTTGTGTGTTCAGTTTGTGGTAAAAGATTCTCCAGAAACGGAAATTTAAGAACACACACAAGAACTCACACTGGGGAAAAGACCTTTGCCTGCTCAATTTGTGGCAAAAAATTCGCTGAGAAGGGATGTTTGACGAGACACACAAGAACACACACTGGAGAGAAACCCTTTCCTTGCTCGGTTTGTGGTAAAAGATTCTCTGTAAAGGGACGTTTAAGTCGGCATACGAGAACGCACACTGGAGAGAAGCCCTTTTCCTGCTTAATTTGCGGCAAGAGGTTCATCCAGAAGGTACAACTAGGAATACACATAAGAACACACACAGGGGAGTAACCGGTTACCAAACATTAAAAAAGAAGAGGAGACCCAAAACAATGTTCAAGAAGAGGAAGAGGCGAGATGACCAAGTGGCCATGGACTAGTGTCATGATGAAGAGTGAAGATGACTCGAAAGCTGATATGACACACTGACAAGAAACACGGGGAATGTTCTCAGTGGGACAACAATTTCGTTGCCAAGACAGATCAGAGTAGACTCAAAACACTTGAGAGAACTGTTGTCACTGTTTTTGTTTTATTTCTTAGTAGTTTTATTTGATTAGTGTGTGGGGGGTGGGGGGTTTCTTATGCTAATGTGTAATAACTGTTCAATATTATGATTCTGTATTTTATGCGTGAATTACCCCCCACCCCCTGCATTGAGCCACTTGCGTCTCGCGCAAGGCAAATCTTGTCTTTGAAATACCTCAAATCAAGTGTATTTCTCGAGCACTTTAAAACAACCACCGCTATGTTTCATTTTGTTAAAACGAAAAGTTCTCACTTTGGTCTCTTGATAGCAGTACACCACCGAAATTGGAATTGTGAGACACGTCCACAGCCACAAAAGGAGATTTGTCAGGGCAGACTACAAAGGAAATACTGCTGTACGTATGCTGCCGTATGATATTAAAGACAATGCAGGGGCTGAGAATCTTCCCCAGAGCAGTCACACGGTGACCATCCATTGAAGAACTGCTTTCAGCCACAGTGATTCCACACACTGACTGGCCCACGTGACATCGCAGGACATCACAGCCAAACACTTAACAAAGCCATCCATCCATTATTACCGCTGATGGTGTAGTGGTACACTCGCCGTATTTCTGAGCAGGCAGTGTGAGATCGGTTCCGCTCAGTGACCGTGTGCGTGTGAATGGTCGGATGTCTGCGACTGACTGGCGACCACTTCAGGGTGCAGTCTGTCTTTCGCCTGAAGTCAGCTGGGGTAGCAGCCAGAGCCCCCTGATACCCTGTTCAGAATAAGCGGTGTTGAAAATGGATGGGATGGATGGGCAGGGTACAAGTTGAAATGGATGCCAGTCGAACAAAGCGACAGAAAGAAAGGCAAACAAAAAGCAACGTTGAGCTTGGTTCACTACACTTATCTACAAAGAGCGCATTTATTTTATAAGCATTGATCTTCCAACAGTACAAGAAATAAACTCTTAAAATATTAAAATTATGTGTAATGTATCTTTTTTAACGACATCAACACAAATATTTCTGATAAACAACTGCTATTTCAAATCAAAGTGTGACCAAGTTCTCACTTTGGTCTCTTGATAGCAGTGCACCACCGAAATTGGAATTGTGAGACACGTCCACAGCCACAAAAGGAGATTTGTCAGGGCAGACTACAAAGGAAATACTGCTGTACGTATGCTGCCGTATGATATTAAAGACAATGCAGGGGCTGAGAATCTTCCCCAGAGCAGTCACACGGTGACCATCCATTGAAGAACTGCTTTCAGCCACAGTGATTCCACACACTGACTGGCCCACGTGACATCGCAGGACATCACAGCCAAACACTTAACAAAGCCATCCATCCATTATTACCGCTGATGGTGTAGTGGTACACTCGCCGTATTTCTGAGCAGGCAGTGTGAGATCGGTTCCGCTCAGTGACCGTGTGCGTGTGAATGGTCGGATGTCTGCGACTGACTGGCGACCACTTCAGGGTGCAGTCTGTCTTTCGCCTGAAGTCAGCTGGGGTAGCAGCCAGAGCCCCCTGATACCCTGTTCAGAATAAGCGGTGTTGAAAATGGATAGGATGGATGGGCAGGGTACAAGTTGAAATGGATGCCAGTCGAACAAAGCGACAGAAAGAAAGGCAAACAAAGAGCAACGTTGAGCTTGGTTCACTACACTTATCTACAAAGAGCGCATTTATTTTATAAGCATTGATCTTCCAACAGTACAAGAAATAAACTCTTAAAATATTAAAATTATGTGTAATGTATCTTTTTTAACGACATCAACACAAATATTTCTGATAAACAACTGCTATTTCAAATCAAAGTGTGACCTCTTTCTTAATGTTTCGTATTACTTTTACTGTCGTGTTGTTTGTCCCGGTAGGCTTGCCGTACGAACTCCACTGCAGGTTTTCCGTGTATGGTTTGTATACGTGCTGCACTTTTTTCTGAATTCTGAATATTTTAGCACCCAACGTAGTAAAGCCTCGACATTGTGCGTTGTATCATTACTTTCTTGGAACAACGCATCATAAAGTCCCCGTGTTCGTCTCGGTGTACGTCGCAGTTTAGTGTATCTTAGCTTAGTTTGCTAGCCGCTAACGACGGGACACGTTTGTTAGCAACACAAAAGCAGAGATCAACAGTGAGTTTATTGTGAGGCGAAATGTGTGCAAGAACAACAGCAGAGTACCTGGAACAACTTTCGGAAACAAAAATGGAAAAGAAGCGACAACGTCGACTACTGGATGCTGGTTTCGAGAAGCTTCGAGTTGTGTTAAACAGAGAAGGTTGATTCATTTCATACTTTGAACTGTTTATGAACTACTTGTTCTTGTTAAGTGCGCATATTGTGTGAATGTGAATAAGAGATCACGTCATTTGGGACGAGCTTTCGATCCCGTGAGTAGGTTTTAAAATTTGGCCTGGGGTTTCAAATCAAGGTTGCATGCAAACTAAGGTTTGGGTTTCAAACTAGGGTGTTCCAACATTAAAAGCGTGGCACCCCACCAGGCCTTTAAAGCACCGGGGGAAACCCTGTTGGAAGCGTGTGTGTGTGTGTGTGTGTGTGTGTGTGTGTGTGTGTGTGTGTGTGTGTGTGTGTGTTGTCCACTATAGAAACTGTTAATGTGTGTGTGTGTGTGATATCCCCTATAGAAAATCTGATGAAAAACACCCTGCAATTATTACAGTAAAACGTTATTACTTCATTTTTTTTCAATGTTTCTTGTACCAAACCATGCGGGTTTGTCTTCTTATTTCCTGCAGGCGTCAGTGAATACTATCTTCATCCTGAGCGACAGCAGCCAGAGCCCCATGGCAGAGAGGAGCCAGATTCCCCCGACATTAAATTGGAAGAAGAGCCAGAGGCCCTCAACTTTAAAGCAGAAGAAGAGCCAGAGCCCCCCAGCCTGAAAGCGGAAGAAGAGCCAGAGCCCCTCAGCATGAAAGCGGAAAATGAGCCAAAGCCCTGTCACATTAAAGAGGAAGAGCAGCAGTATGAGGTCGCCATGTTGCTTTTGCCTGTTGTGATTCTGAAGCGTGCAGATGTAGGTCAAGGTGAAAGTGGGGAGAACACAAAGGCCAAACCTCCAAGCAGCAGCTCAAGTGAACACATGACAGCAGAAGGCGATGGAGACCCCTCTGGACAATCCCAAGCACACTGCATCCAAGCTCCACCACCAGATGGGGAGGACGTGACGTCACACTCTTCTGACACTGGAGACGAACACTCCAGAGATGAAATGAAACATCACACCGACAACAAGCTCTGGAAATGTTCTCAAGGTCCTCCCCAATCACACGGGCCAGTCACCACCCTAGACGAGCCGAAGTCCAGTCGTGGAATAAGCGACTCTGTATTTGTTCGCGCATACCAAAAAAGAAGCCAAAAAAGAGCATACAGCAAGAGACATTATTGCTTGTATTGTTCGAAGCCTTACGCAAAGATGGCTCGACACCTCGAAAGTGCACATCAAGATAAGAGTGACGTGGCTACGGCCCTCAGCTTTCCAAAGGGGTCAAAGGAGAGAAAAAAGCAGCTGGATTACATCCGCAACCGGGGCAACTTTGCATACAATACTTCCGTTTTGGAGTCAGGCAAGGGGGAGCTGGTGCCATTTAAGCAACCGCCTAAAGAAGCGCAAGGAAGTGATTTCATGCACTGTACCTACTGTCAAGGGCTTTTCTCAAGGAAGGTCTTGTGGCGACATATGCAGACGTGTGGTTTTAAACCTGGATCGATCCCCAGCAAGCCAGGGAAGAACCGGGTCCAGTCACTGTGTACGTACAGAGGTCCGATGCCTTCCCACATGAGCAAGGAACTGTGGGGCGTCATCAGTGCCATGAATCGAGACCCAATCACAGATATCATCCAAAATGACAAGGTCATCATTGACATCGGGCAATGCCTGTTAAACAGCGGTGGAACATGCACAAAAAACCTGGAGCTTGTGAGAGGCAAGTTGAGACAAATGGGGAGGCTTGTTTCAAGAGCAAGGATGAGCACCTCCTTGAAAAAATTTGAAGACTTCATCGATCCGCAGAGGTACACGGAGACGGCTGAAGTTGTGAAGGTGATGTGCCGGTATGACGGCAAAGCGGGGAAGGGCATCAATCCAACACTGGCCAACAAACTTGGGGATGACCTGGTGGAAGCGAGCAAATTATTGACAGCTGAAGGTTTAATCACAGGCAACCAAGCGCTGGTCAAGAAAGCCACCGAGTTCCAAGAAGTCCATCGGGAAAAGTGGAACCAAATTATTGGGACTATGGCGCCGAGGAACATCAGGGAGTCACGATGGAAAGTGCCCACCGTTTTGTCTTTTACTGAAGACGTTCAGAAACTGCACACGCATCTCAACCAAATGCAAGATCACTTCTGCAAATCCCTTGCCCAACGTCCTTCCGCCGAGGGCTGGGTGGAGTTGTCAAAGGTGTGTCTCAGCCAGGTCACGCTTTTCAACCGACGCAGGGAGGGAGCAGTTGCCAAAATGCCCTTAGCAGCATTTTTGGCAAGAGACCCCGTCGGTCCGCACGAGGATGTGGACTGGGCACTCTCGATAGTGGAGAGCAAACTCTGCCGGCACTTCACAAGGGTTATCTTCATGGGCAAATATGGCCGACCCGTTCCAATTCTCCTGACACTCAAAATGCTGCGTGCGCTACAACTCCTTGTTTGGCTGAGAGAGCAATGCGGTGTTCTTAAAGACAACCAATACCTCTTTGCAAGGCCCGGCGTCCTGACGCATGTCCAAGGTTCAAATTGCCTCCGTGGCCACGTAAAGCTTTGCGGTGCCAAGTTCCCCACGTCGCTTACGTCCGCCAGAATGCGGCAGCATGCGGCAACCTTGTCCACGGTGCTGAACCTGACCAACAACGAAATGCTCCAGCTGCCAAACGTTCTCGGGCATGACATCACAGTCCCTCCTGAGTTCTCTCGAGTCCCAGAGACGACCATGCAACTTGCCAAGATCAGCAAAGTTTTGATGGCGCTCGAACAAGGAAGATTAGCTGAATTTCAGGGACAGAACTTGGGTCAAATTGGAATATATCCACACGGTGTGTTATTTGATTGGATTTTTTTTTTGTTGTTGTTGTTGAATGTTTTGTCCATTTCTTTGTTCTTTGGCTTGCTCACTTTAATATTCTGTTTTCTAAATTGAATCTACAGAAAAGGTTTTTGACAGCAGCGATGACGATGGTGAGACCGTTGCAGTGGAAGCCTGTTCGACCGCTGGCGGGACGGTGACCGCAGCTCGAGGAGCAAGTTCGACTCCCATTGATGGTAAATGCTACCGCTGGACTCTGTTGTCCTAAACTTTTTTTATTATTTTTTTTTTTTTGCTGTACGTCTTTGTGAAAATGTTGATTCCTGTGTTATCGCTCACTGAGCTGTCTGTCCTAAATCATGTTAGCTAAAGCACTGCAGAGGAGGAACACACGTTGGAGCCACCAAGAAGTCCAGGCAGTGAAAAAGCACATGAGTCGTTTCATCACCTCTTGCATTGTTCCAGCAAAGTATGACTGTGACAAATGTTTAAGAGCCGAACCAGAAGCTCTAAAGAACCGCAGCTGGCAAAGTGTGAAATTTTACGTGTACAATCGCATTCAGGCCAAGAAAAAGAAAACGCTGTGTGAATAATGTGGAGCTGAAGCCAATAAAAGTTGTATTCGATACAAGTTCATTGAATGTCTGTAAGAGTTTGGGAGACCTGCGAAAAGTCACTGCCGCTTATTGTTGTAACCTCGTCTCTTTGATGTCCTCCCAAGTGACTTTGAGTCCAAACAGTTTTTGCTGCGACTTCCTGCAAGACACTGAAAGTAGCAGTGACCCACCTCTTACAGTAGCTTGAAGTTGTTTATTTGAACTTTTTTCCCTCCCTTTTCTAAATGATCATACACACCGGCAGTCATTACAAACAACCTGAGAACTTGTTTGTGGTTCTATAAACCAGAAGAACCAGTTTGGATTGTACCCCGCCTATTGTCCAGAAAACAGGAAGAAATTGAATTTGTGTCTCCAAGATGAATGTTTTTAAAATGCACGACGGACGAGAACAGATTGTAGTTGTGATAAATGGTTGTTTCGCCTATCAAGGGGATGACGGACACATAAGAATTAGTCTGAAAATGACCACCTAAATGTACTTCTGCTCCTTTCATTTTATGGACAATAAATTGACCGAGCAACGCGCATCAAACTGCTCGCATTATGACAAATCACTGGAGAAAAATCTTCAATTTTTTTTTCTGAGACAAAATTTAGAACAAATGAACTGTTTTTGTAATGAAGATGTCGAGACCATAAGAGCTGTATTTTTTTGATTGGACATACGCCAAAATGTTTGATTGGTTTTGTCATTTCCGTGCTTCATTGTAATGTGTTTGAATTATGATGGATATTGATTAATATAAAACAGACGGTGTATGGATGTATAGATAGTAACCTACCGTGGTTATTTACAGGGAAAATAAATGGTTAAAAAGCTTCTCCTGAAGCAAGGCCAATTGAAAGTATTGCTCACACATTTTTTCAGATGCAATTACATATTTCCGAATGCGTCCAGCCGACTGCGCGAGCGTTACGCACGTGTTTTGTCTAAGTGCACTTGCCGTAGGTTAGCGAAGACGGCCAGCCTACGGCGCATGCGTGTTCAAATTGTGCCAGAGACAGATTCGATTTTATTTTGTTTTTTTATACTATTACAAAAGTACACTATTAGTTTGCAATAAAACTCCTGCTGTAAATTGTGTCCGACTCTAATCGATAATTGCAGATGGCAAAATTGTCTTCAGCAAATGAGGTCCTACATATTTTTTAAATGACGCATCCCAAGTGCAGCATTTCCCTCGTTTCACGCCTTTTACCTCCGCAGTGACGACCTGGCGGATGCTTCTTTAAAACCAGACGACGACCATTACTTTCGGGTACAGCCCCAAATTAGAATGACTAATAGCCACTACTGCGATTTTGTGACGTGGGGTCAGGACAGGATATCAATTCGGCGAGTTAAATTCGACGTCGATTTTTTTAACGTTGAAGCCGCGAGAGTTCATTTCTTGTACCGCCATATCATTTTGCCAGAGTTGTTAGGGAAATGGTATTCTAGAAGTGTTCGCTAAATTGTATTCTACAAGCCGAGGGCCGACCGGGTGCGGGATCCACTTGTGCCACATCAGACCATGGGAAGGACAAATGTTGGGAAGGCCAGTCGGGTGAAATAAAATGGCAGTGTCCAAAACATGCGACAGCACGTGTCAACTCCTCTAGTTTCTGTTTATTTGGCACTCCTTAAAGTTTCCCAAAGCCCCCCAACTGCGCTTCTTGCTCTTATGTTGACCAGAGAAGGAGACAAAAAATGCCAATTACTGTACAGAACTGGAAACGAATACAAGCCCGAGGTTTACCTTCTAACAGCTGACATTGATGATAGGCCGCCGTAATTCGCCCATTGCGTCATGGAAAGCGGTGACACGTCAGCCAAGCTTTGTCGCCTGTGTGATTCTCACGTGCCGCTGTACACGACAACACATTTCTGGCATATTTGATACCGGCAAGAAAGATTTGAGACTTTGAAGTTTGACTACAAGTTTTTTTTCTTTACTTGGTAGAGGTTATTCTGTTAAGATTTTTTTTTTTTTTTTGCAGCGAACAGTACATCGAAATGGAAGATAGAAAGCTACTCACTCGGGACATAATTTCAAACCATTATTTATATTTGACTCAGAATCACATGCAGCATACACTTTTCCATTCTACCCAAAAAAGACAGCGTCAATTTCATCGCTTCATCGCTTGCTGCTCTTCTCACCAGCACACTTGTGCGTCTTAACATGATGCTGACAAGAGAATCTTTTATCACAAACCGAGCAGGCAAAAGGCTTCTCCCCAGTGTGCGTTCTTGAGTGTTTGACTAAATCGGTCTTTGTTGTAAATCTTTTACCACAAACCAAGCAGGTAAACGGTTTCTCTCCAGTGTGGGTTCTGACGTGTTTTTCTAAATTCCCCTTCTGAGTGAAGCCTTTACCACAAACTGAGCAGACAAAGGGTTTTTCCCCAGTGTGTGTTCTGGTGTGTTTCCTTAAATGTCCCTTCTGTGTGAATATTTTACCACAAACCGAGCAGGCGAAGGGTTTCTCCCCAGTGTGTGTTCTTGTGTGTCTTGTCAGGCTTTCATTTACAGAAAATCTTTTGCCGCAAACTGAACAGACATAAGGTTTCTCCCCAGTGTGCGTTCTTGTGTGTACAGCGAAATGTCTCTTTGTGGTAAATGCTTTACCACAGACCGAGCAGGCAAAACGTTTCTCTCCGCTGTGTGTTCTTGCGTGAGTTGTTAAATTTGTCTTTCGAGAGAATCTTTTACCACAAACTGAACAGGCAAAAGGTTTCTCCCCGGTATGTGTTCTTGAATGTGCTCTTAGGCTTCCCTTCTCAGAGAAAACGTGACCACAAACCGAGCAGGCAAAAGGTTTCTCCCCAGTGTGCGTTCTCGTGTGCGTTTCCAAGTGTCCCTTCTGAGTGTATCTTTTCCCACAAACTGTGCAGACAAAAGGTTTTTCGCCTGTGTGTGTTCTTGTGTGTGTTTCTAAATGTCCCTTTTGAGTGAATTTCTTACTACAAACCAAGCAGGCAAAAAGTTTCTCCCCGGTGTGTGTTCGTCCATGTCTTTTTAAACAGATCAGTGCAGAGAATCGTTTACTGCAAACTGAGCAGGCAAAAGGTTTCACTCCAGTGTGGATTCTCATGTGTACTCTCAAAGAGTACTTGCCATCCAAGCTTTTCCCACACTGCATGCATTTCCAGTGTGTGTTGTCAGCGGGAAAGGTCGTGTCACCTTTAGTGTGTTCATCGTCATCCTCTTCATCAGTTTCAAGAGAGTGTGTCGTTATGTTGTCATCTGACAGTGGAGTCCAAAGCCTGCCTGCTTGTGACACGCCACAGCGGTCTCCATCACCGTCTTCATCGTCACCTTCAATCTTGACAATAACACAGGGGAATGGCAACTTGGTGATTTCAGCCTCCTCTTCCTCTTTAATGGACGAATGTTTTGGCTCCTCTTCTTCCTCTTTAATGACGGGGGAATCTGGCTCCTGTTGCTCGGGACAAATACATTTTTCACCAATGTCTGTAGGACACAAGAAGACAACCACATGCCGTATGTAATTAGTGACACTCACGATATATTCCGAAATCAATTCCGTTTCGTTGATTGTTAAATGTGACCTGGTCTGAGGTAATGCCAGAAAGTGTGTTTACTATTACAGCAGAGGAAGTTACAGCAATAACTGAAACCGAAAAAGAGGAATCCCCTCAACTTACCAGGCGAGTAAGATGAGCGAAAGAACAAAGATGAAAATGGAAATGATCAAATAAAGGTGAGAATAAAATGATCTGTCGATCCATCCATTTTTCTAATTATCGTGGAGCGAGTCAGTCGTTTTCGTGAGAAAGCATCACCCCGCAACCCTTTCAGATAAGCCTGAAATGCTGGTTTGACCCCTGGGGGCCCATCATCAGATCCACCGTGTACAGATTCACATCATTCATAACATCTACGACTTTACGAATAAGGATTCCGTTTCTAAATAAAACGGTGTTTTTTAACAACAGAAAGTAATGACTGACCGCTTCCGACAAGTGAGACGACGAAGCGAACACACCTGCCCCGTGAAACACATCTGGAGGCTTCTTGGAAACGGTGTCCACGAGATGATGTCTCTCGTTTTCCTCTTTTGTTCGATTCAGCTCCCCGCCGTACTCTTCTTTCACACATTGAGCACACATTACCACACGAACATCGCAACACTTTACTTTCACATTGACGGCGTGCGGAAAACAAACGCTTGGCTTTGTTAGCGGCTAGCAAGCTAATCCAAAACAAGCCAAGAAACGCTAAACTCGCTTGAGAAGCTTCGACGTTGATGGTGCGGTTCAGGCCCTCTGTGCGATCACGTCTTATTTGTTTCCAGTGGCGACAAACTGCGAATATATCGTCGTGGCGACGGAGACTCAAACGCCCGCACCAGGCCTCTGAACCACCGCGAAAAAAGAAAAAGAAAAATCTTTATTGACACTTGCAATCGGAACACCGTGTCAAGTCTTGTTCAAGTTGTGCACGTGAGGATGGGGACTCCAAGTGGACAACGATGATACCTGCAGCCTGGCCCGCACCTCACCTTGAGCTCAGCTCGAAGCTCGCTGATGGTTGGAAATCTTTGTTTGACTTGCTCAGTTGGAGCGTGGTATGAGTTATAATTAGTTGAGTGCCAGATTTAAGAAAAATACTGTCACGAGTTTTGTTTGGCATTAAAACTAAACGTTAGTAAGATTGTGGAAACATGTCATTTGTATGACTAATGTATTGTGCTTTGTTTGAAGGAATAATTTGATACACTTGTCAGACGATCACAAACATTTTTTCATGTCTTATTCGGTGCGTGATCTTGAAGGTGCTTTTGCCGCTCGTTGAGCTACATAGTATGATCGACACTCGTTTGAAAATGTCTGCGTCTTCGTTCGTGAATCCAAGGTGGCGCTATAGGTATGTGCCAAAAATTGTGCAATCATATTATTCTTTTTAGCCGCTCGAGCCATGTGCACACATGTATTACAGTATCAGTTACTTTTTTCTCTCATGTCGAATCGCGTCTCTTGATTTGCACATAACTTGTCCGTGTGGAGTTGCCGTACAATTTCCTCGGCCCCTCCACTCCCGTTTGCCTTTTGCGGAACCAAACCCGCTGCGCTAAATACGTTTTCTTGATTTAACGAACGACCGTAACGAAGCCTCAAGCGCCCTACGTCCAAAACTACCGTACTGGGGTAAAATATCTGCGTTTAAATCCGTAGTTAACCTCGCATCACGCTTCTTTAGAAAGCTTAGCTGAACTTGCTAGCCGCTAACAAAGAAGCTGTTCTTGAAGAGAACAAAATGCCGGACACTCTCCCACTTTGAAGTCTTGTACTTTATTCAGGTTTACATGCTCCCATCTTCGCACAGAGAGTCAAATGATTCTTCTTCTGTTGTCAATTTAAAACCTCACTGACTGCTGCTTTTGTCACCTGTGCACTTGTGTGCCTTAACATGATGATTACAAGAGAATCTCTTACCGCAAACTGAGCAATCAAAGGGTTTCTCCCCAGTGTGCGTTCTCGTGTGCCTGATTGAATCTCTCTTCCGAGTGAATCTTTTACCACAAACTGTGCAGGCAAAGGGTTTCTCTCCGGTGTGGATTTTGGCGTGTCTTCTTAAGGTTCCCGTGTCAGAGAAGGATATGCCGCAAACGGAGCAGACAAAAGGTTTCTCCCCAGTGTGGGTTCTTGTGTGTCTCACTAAATATGGCTTCAAAGTGAACCTTTTACCACACACTAAGCAGGAAAAAGGTTTCTCACCGGTGTGCGTCGTCTTGTGCGATATTAAGTATGCCTTCCAACTGAATGTCATGCCACACACTGAGCACGCAAAAGGTTTCTCCCCAGTGTGTGCTCTCGTGTGTCTTCCTAAACTTCCCTTTGTAGAAAATCTTTTGCCACAAACCGAGCAGACAAAGAGTTTCTCACCCGTGTGTATTCTTAAGTGCCTTCTTAAGCTTCCCTGTCCAGAGAATCGTTGACCGCAAAATGAGCAAGCAAAGGGTCTCTCTCCAGTGTGTGTTCTCGAATGTGTTGTTAAATTTCCCTGAGTCGTGAATGCTTTCCCGCAAAACGAGCAGGCAAAAGGTTTCTCGCCAGTGTGCGTTCTGATGTGTCTTGCTAAGCTTCCAGCTTCGGAGAGTCTTTGTCCGCAAACTGAGCAAGCGTAAGGTTTCTCGCCGGTGTGTGTCCTTGCGTGTGCCTCCAAATTTCCCTTCTGAATAAATCTTTTGCCACAAATTGAGCACTGGAAAGCTTTGTCCCCTTTGTGTATTCTCGTGTGAAGGTTCAAACCCGACTTTGAACAAAATGTTTTCCGACACTGAGAACATTCCCAGCGTTTGTTGTCATTATGACATGCCACTTCCCCATTCGATTGTTTGTCCTCCTTCATGTCAAGACAGTTTGATGTTATGTCCTTACTATCTGATAATGGCGCAAAGAGGCCGTCCGCTTGAGATTCTCCAGAATGGTCTCCACCTGCCTCTGTTCTCAAATGTTGACCTGAGCTGCTGCCAGAAGGCCCCGCCCCTGCGTTCTCCTCAACGCCATCGTCATCCTCTTCACTCTTCAAAAGGACAACAATCAATGGCAATGTGGTGATTTCTTCCTCCTTCTCTTCCTCTTTAATGTTGAGGGGCTCTTCCTCCTCTTTGATGTAGGAGGGCTCTGACTCCTCCTGTGTCATGAGGAGATCCTCGTTGTCCTCCTCCTCCTCTTGAAAACGATGGGACTCTGGCTCCTGCTGTTCAGTACACACATCTGCAGGACACAAGAACACAAGCATGTGGTGGATCAGCGCATGGATAAAGGACACATTTTGTGAGGTATAAACGGCAGCACGTGATCATTGGAAAGTGTTTGACTCGACCTGAACCGAGTCCAAATTTTTGATTAAAGTGAGTCTTTTGTGTATGCTGCCTTGTCCTCGGTGCAAATGGTTCACATCAGCAGGCCACATTTACTTACTACTTTTAAAATCAAGAAACCAGGAAAGTCAGTTACTTTTTTAAAGGTAATTGTGGCAACGCTACACATAAACCAGATTCGGGTTCAAATCATCTTCAGAAGCCCTATAATTGGGCAATATACTTGGAACCCAATCATGTAAAAATAACTGTCACGTCTTACAGTGCCACGGTAACCCAAAACGAGGATTACGTACAAAAAGAGGGAACATTTCGAATGTTACATTAACAGAAGTCACTGAACAACACTCACGAAGCGAACAAACCTGCTCGGGGTGCTTCATCTTGAGCCTCTTTGAAAACAGCATCCCGGGGTTGACGTTGTCTCTCGTTCTCTTCCTTGGTTTGGCACAGTTCCTCGTCGTACTCGTTTTTCGCATTTTTTGTCAACATTTTCACGCGATATTCACGCCTAATCTGGTTGGCGACGTTTTGTCAACAAACGCGTGAGCGGCGAGCAAGCTAAACAAAGCTCAACTAGGCCGAGAAGCTTCACCGTGCACCGAGAACAATTTATCCGGACACGATTTTATAAATGATTTGTTCAGCCCACTAAAGTAGTGATGCAGCGCACCCAGTCGAGGCTTCAGTCCGTTTAGTACTTAAGAGAAATGTTTTGTTACCGGTAGCGTGGTTACGGAAGAAAAACGTACCTGAAAGGCGAACTGCAGCTAAAGTTGTACGGCAATTCCACTAGGACAAACTTCTCGTGTCCAGGCAGGCCGGCCACTATGACGAGCCTTCTTTTTGAAGCTCGTGGAGACGTTCCAGTTGCACTGTCTGTACAGCAATTCATTTTTGCTTCGTCAAAAGAATTTCAGATATCGTACTATGCTCCGATCCATATTAAATTATTCGACAAAGACGTCACCGATGAGGTTGACGTGTATTGTGGTCACATTATATTTCTGCAGATTTATATGGCAACGTTTGCGACATTGATAGTCTGCCTTGTTAGAACTAAATCAGATTTATTTTAAAACTACACGCTATGCAACAGCCATTTAAGATGTGTGACGTCTTGAGTTGAGTGTTGCTTTCGTGACGTCAGTGCAGTCAAAGAGATCTCAAGAATATACTGGTATTGCTATATTGTATGTACTTTTTCTGAGGGAAATATACACAGAAGCAGCCACGCGAGTTCATTGGAATTAGCCAAACATCAAGCAAGGGCAGGACAGCAGGAGGAATGATTACAAAATTTTGTTCGGTGTTTGTTGAGGACATACCGTATTCTACCGCATCATTTGGAGCCTGTGGATGAAATTGTAACGTGCACTTCATTTACAGTCCAAAGATCAGATTAGGTCAATTTATTACTAGTCAGCATCTGACTGCAAAACAACCCGCGGTTGTGCAATATCCACATAAAATCGTTGGATGCTAGCACTTTTTTCCCCAGAGCAAAATGGCATCCATTTCTTTTCTTTTTTTTGGCCCATTTCAAAGACGAGGGAAAGCTGCTCCAGCCAACACTGCGGTGCAGCGCTCTGTTTAACTGTAAAGCATCAACTCGATTTTGAGTTCGAACAAGTTTCCCATGTTGTCACTACGCGCTCACACGCCAAATGGACACCCCGCATCCGCAAATGTTGCATACATAAAAAACAACGTCCTCCTTTTTAAAAGTACCTGAAAATGTACGTTGGACAATAATTTCAGTCTGAAAATATGACATTCATGTGCGTGTTGAATCTACGTCAATTTTACACCACAAGTGTGAAAACTCAAGTGTTGTCTTAAACTGAGACCAACATGGACACAAAAGCGGGGAAGTACCGAACACTCTCACTCTTTAGACTTGTTTGGTCTTGAAGATCCCATCTACTGCTAACATGTTTCCCTCTTCGCAAAAAGAGTAGAAATGTATTTGGTTTCTTTAAGGCTTTGTTGTTGGCTTGTTGCTATTCACACCAGTGCACTTGTGCTTCTTCACCTGGTTCTTCCAAGAAAATCTTTTGCCACAAACTGAGCAGGTAAAAGGTTTCTCTCCAGTGTGCGTTCTCATGTGTTTGCTTAAGTATCCCCTCTGAGCAAATGTTTGCCCACAGGCTGGACAAGGAAAAGGTTTCTCTCCAGTGTGCGTTCTCGCGTGTGCTTCCAAATGTCCCTTCTGAGTGAATCGTTTACCGCAAACCGAGCAGACAAAAGGTTTCTCCCCAGTGTGGGTTCTTGCGTGGGCTCTTAAATTGCCCTGCGCAGAGAATCCTTGACCACAAACTGTGCACGGGAAAGGTTTCTCTCCGGTGTGTGATCTCATGTGACTTGTCAAGTTTTGCTTTGTAAAAAATCTTTTGCCACAAACTGAACACGCATGAGGTTTCTCCCGAGTGTGCTTCCTTGTGTGCGTTAATAAAGATATCTTAAAAGGGAAGGTTTTACCACAGACCGAGCAGGCAAAAGGTTTCTCCCCTGTGTGCATTCTCGTGTGTGCTATCAAAGATAACCTAAAAGTGAATTTTTTACCACAAACTAAGCAAATAAAAGGTTTCTCCCCAGTGTGTGTTCTTGTGTGTGCTCTTAAATACCACTGCGTAGAAAATCCTTTACCACAAATGGAGCAATCAAAGGGTTTTTCTCCACTATGTGTTCTCGTGTGTCTCCTCAACTGTTCCTTGTTAGCAAACCTTCTCTCGCAAACTGAGCAGACAAAAGGTTTCTCACCAGTGTGTATTCTTGTGTGACTTTTTAAGTTACCCTTCTGAGAGAATGTTTTCCCACAAACTGAGCAGATGAAAGCTTTTTCCCCAGTGTGTGTTCTTGTGTGCACTTCCAGGTGTGACTGTGCTGGGAATTTTTTACCGCAAACTGAGCAACCAAACGCTTTCTCCCCGGTGTGTATTTGTCTGTGTTTTCCCAAAGTTTCCCGGGCAGCAAATCTTTTACCACAAACTGAGCAGGCAAAAGGTTTTTCACCCGTGTGCGTTCTTGTGTGCCGTTTTAAGTTTCCCTTTGCGGAGAACCTTCGCCCGCAAACCAAACAGGCGAAAGGCTTCTCCCCGGTGTGTGTTCTGGTGTGTGCTTTCAAGTGTGACTGTGCAGGAAATTTTTTACCACAAGTTGAGCAATCAAAAGCCTTCTCCTCGGTGTGCACTCTCACGTGTACTTTCAAACCCCACTTGGAGCTAAATGTATTCCCACATTGCGAACATTTCCAGCGTGTCTTGCTTGTTTTTTTGTGGCATGTCCTACCACGTTGAGGGTGTGCGTCATTGTCAGAGTCAGCAGAGTGCGATATTATGTCATCACCATGTGATTGTGGTGCTAAGTTGTTGGCGGTTTTCGATGGTCTATTGTGGTCTCCATCAGCCTCTTCTTCATCACCTTCAATCTTCACAATGACGCAAGGGAATGGCAACTTGGTGAGATCCACCTCCTCTTCTTCCTCTTCGGAGTAGTCGCGCTCTGGTCCTCCTCCTTTCCCATCTTTCTCTTTTACGTGGGGGGAATCTGGATCCTGTTGCTTAGGATGAAGGTATTTTTGATTGATGTCTGCGGGGCACAGGAAGACAAGCACACATGGTTTGATAAAATCGAAGATCACATTGGTGACTTGGATGTTGCATCATACCATTTGGAGGGTGATCTATTTTCAGGTTGTTTGGCAAGCTACATGAGCAAAAGCAAGTGAAGATAAGTGAACTGGATTTTTTTTTTTCAAAGTTTAAGTGTCTATTCCAGGGGTAGCCAACCCTTGGCTCGCAAGCCGCATGCGGCTCTTTGGCTGGTTCAATGCGGCTCCCAGGCTTTCACGCAACAAGCGTCGAAAACACCTCGGCAGTAGCGATGCCATTCAAACAAGGCGCAAACTTCACAGAAAGTACTACGTCAGCCTGTCATCAATCCCGTTACTTGACTGACATAGAAGGCAACCAATCAGATGACTGCATCACCGCTCATGCGCAAACAATGGCGCTAAGCTAGTCAGCGAATTACCTCTGATTTTAAGGCAGGGGTGCCCAATACGTCGATCAGAATCGACCGGGAGCCAGCGAACTGGTCCCAAGTCGGCCGCAAGTGTGTGTGTGTGTGTGTGTGTGTGTGTGTGTGTGTGTGTGTGCGCACACGCACATGCGCGAGGAAGGGTATGATGCGGCTCTTTGCAGTAACACAGTAAAAAAATTGGCTCTTCGTCTCTGACTGGTTGGCCATCCCTGGTCTATTCCTTCAAACTTTACCTCAAACCAACCACCTCCTCTGTCCAGAATGGACATTTTGGGAAAAAGTCGTCAGATACTTAAGTTTTCACTTGGACTTACTCTTTAACACAACTTTTGGCCTCTCGACCCAAATCAGCAAAATTCCCTGGTCGCAAATGCGTGAGTAGATGAAAGGTTTACTTGCAGTCTCAAATTTTCCAGACAGAATGACTCCATTGAGGGTTAGTCAGGGGCCATGAGCCGAGCATGTTGAATATTTGACACTGAATGTTGCATTTGTATGTCATTTGATCGGAATTCAATTCATTGTTTCAGACGGCACCAATATACTTCCATAAATAAAGACGTGCTTAACCCAAATATTGGCTTGACTCGTCTTGCTTGATTTTTTTTCACTACAGTGGTACTTAATCGTGACTTGTAAATGGGAAGGTGAACCAACCTGCTCTGTGTAACACACCTCGAGGCTGCTTGCGCACAACGTCCAGAAGTTGACGTTGTGGCTTGTCATCCTTTTTCGTCCCAGAAAGTTTTTCCACGTCTTCTGCTGACTTCCTGGCACACATGTTTCCAACGATAACCACAACGCTTTACGCGCACACTCGATCTCTGTGTCTCCCACGTCGGCGACTCTTTGTTAGCGGCTAGTAAGCTAGGCTAAGCTAAGCTAACCTTACTTAAGAGGCTTCAACGTGCACCCAGACCAATTTATCCGGACTCGAAATGTCAATCGATGTTGTTTTAGTCAGGTAAAATGGCGAAAAGGTGCAATTTATCGATGTTTAGAGCGTGTGTCGAAAAAAGGCGTCCACTTCTTTGTTCAAACTTCGCACCCAGCTAAGCTCGCCTAAACTAAGCTAAGCTAGCGACAAAGGCTTCAACGTGCCCCGAGACGATTTCCTCCGGACAAAAACATTTCTTTGAATGACATATTCGTACGGTAAAGGAGCGATATTAACGTCTCGGGGCGAGGCTTCTCGGTGTTCAGTTCTAATAGTAAAGAATAATTTCGTGAAGCGCGTCTGTTTACTCAGAGCGAACTCGAGCCGGAGCGGAAAATGTACCGGAACGCACCCGGCTAAACAACTTGCTACACCCAAGCAGTTAACGTACAATGTGACAGTGACACTCCAGCCTCGGAATTGATTTATATGTATACAATATCCATGGATGTGACATGTTTTTCAGAAATGTGTCCCACCTCAAAAGGTAGCACATTTGGGCTCCAAGAGGACCGGAGTTGATTTGCACATTCCAAGTGAAGAAGCACTAAGCAAGATACTGAATATTATCTGAGCCTGCTACAAGTTAAACTAAAGCGGCGTATTATTATGTATTCCTTTTAAATGTGTCATTCGGTTTATTAATTGTGGTAAAAATGCAACGGTGACATCCATCCATCCTTTTCTTTCTTTCTCTTCTTTAGTCCTCTTGCACTTCATGGCCCGTAGAGCCACCCATAGCGACCAGGTCTCTCCATCTCAGTCTGTTGTGGGCAAGGTGTTGTTCCAGGGTCACATTGCAGGCCCCAAGGTCCAGGGCTATTACGTCCAGCCAGCAAGTGCGGGGGCACCTCTGGGTCGTCTCCAGCCGGCTTGCTGCGGATGACACGGCCAGACCATCGCACTCGCCGCATTGCTGAGAGACGAGAGGCTGGTGGCTGTTTGGTTTTGTCTCTTCGAGCCCGATATGTGATGTACTCGGTCCACAAAATACCTTCAATCATCCTGAGGGCCCCGCAGTCAATCAATCCATCCAGTCATCCATTTTCGAATCAGATTCTCAACTCTCAACTCAACAGTATTTATAGAGCACTTTCAAACAGCCATCGCTGCATACAAAGTTCTGTACATGGAGCAACTAACATATACAACAGTAAAGCAATAAATCACTCACAAAGATTCTCCTCACAAGGGTCTTGGCGCGTTGGATCCTATCAAAGCTGTCTACGGGCAGTCGGCGGGGGACACCCTGAACCGGTTGCCAGTCTATTGCAGGCCACGCACAGACAAACAACCATCCGCGCTCACAATCACACCAAGAGACTATTTCGAGTGTGAACCTGCCGTGACCGTTAATTGCTTTACATTTGAATTGAAGCTTCATTAACATTGCTCTACTGACCGGCACACTTGCGTCTCTTAACCTGACACTTGACATGGAATCTTTCAAAACACACACACACACACACACACACACACACACACACACACACACACACATACACACGCCGCAACTGGACC